TCCTCTAAGATCAGGAACAAAACAAGGATGCCCAAACTTACCACTTTTATTCAACATAGAATTGGAAGTCCTGGTCAGAGCAATTAGGCAAGAAAATATAACAAAAGGCATCCAAATTGGAAAAGAACTATAAGTGTCACTGTTTGCAGATAATTAATATTATATATAAAACTCTAAAGATTCAACCAAAAAACTGTTAGAAGTAATTAATGAATTCAGTAAAGTTGCAAGACACAAAATCAATATACAAAAATCATTTGCATTTCTATACCCTAACAATGAACCACCTGAAAAAGAAATTAAGAAAACAATCCCATTTACAATTGAATCAAAAAGAAAATGTGGTATATATATTATTCAGCCATAAAAAAGAAAATCCTACCATCTGTGACAACAAGATAGACCTCGAGGGCATTATGCTAAGTGAAATAAGTGAGACTGAGAAAGACAAATATTGTATGATCTCACTTATATGTGGAATTTTAAACAGAAAATAAAAAACTGAACTTACAGATACAGAGAACAGACTGGTGGTTGCCAGAGGTGGGGAGGTTGGGGGTTGGGAAAATGGGTGAAGATGGTCAAAAGGCACAAACTTCCAGTTATAAGATAAATAAGTTCTGGGAATATAATGTACAGCATGGTGACTATAGTTAACAATACTGTATTGTACATTTGAAAGTTGCTAAGAGAGTAGATAACTAAATAACTAAACTTGTGTAATCATTTTGCAATAAAGAGATATATCAAATCACTATGTTGTACACCTTAAACTAATATAATATTATATCTCAATAAAACTGGCAAAAAAATAAATAGATACTATGCATCTGATTCAGGAAAACAAATTACACATGACGCTTTTAATGTTGTACCCTTGATAAGCCCTATAAAGTACTATTTTTAGCACTATTAGTTGTGGATTGAATATTATTACAACATCACATTTAAACTCTTCAAACATTATTAGAAATCTAAATAAAATATAACTTCTTAATCTGCAAGCAAAATGTTTCCTTTCAATAACCACTCCATCATGATCGTGGGAAAGAGCATTCTGTGTCATGGTCTGTCACATCACTACTCAATATTGGGATTTATATATCAACATCTTACAACCCTTTGAGAATTCGGGTTTCAGGAGAGGGGGTTTCAGGTCTCTTTCCTTTCAATCCATTACATATGCAAACGACCACATCCAAAGGTGATGTCTAAGCATAGTTCTGACTACTCTATTCTTTGTTTTCTATACTCAGTCCATTTTCCACCCTTATCCAAATTTAAAGGAGGCTACCATGGGGCCATGTGAAACAACAGGTTTGGTGGGAAGGCAACACCTCAATCTGATCTTCGTTGTTGAGCTGGTTCCTGTCTAGCAGAGTATTTATAGTGAGGCTCTTGAGAAAAACTTAAGGCCATAGTTTTGTCTTCTGATGTTTAGGAGACAGAAACGGTTAACATTTTGAAAACTATGAGAGCTCAATTTACTGGACTCCCAAATTAGATTGTAGGCTTAAAGTAGAGAAAGGCTCTCTTACCAGAGCTATTATTTTTCATCTTTGCTTACAAACTGGTTAGTTTTTAATTTAAAGTTTATCTCTCCCTTATAGGACTTCAGTAAAAGTGGCAAAAAATCCACACCAAGATTTTGACTTTCCAGCCACTTTCTCTAGAGTTACTGGCTTGGTGAGCCTGTAGCTTGCTTCCAAGATATCTCAGGTAACACTTTTGCCAAATGGTTAGCCACGGCATAACAAGGGTCATCAGCATTCGAGCCTTCAACCTTGAGTCTTCACTGCCACTGTATGACTTTAAGTCAATGTCAGGTACTTTAGGATTTTTTTTTTTATGTCACTGCCTTATTTCTAGGTACTAATATCCGTATTAATTATGATACAAATTCTGTCTGCTCTAGCAAAGATCCAAACATAACAATGGCTCTTAAAAGGTGGAATTTTATTCTTCTCTTATACAATAGTCCAGGGCTTAATTATCAACTCCACAGTGCTAGGAACCCAGGCTTCTTTTATCTTTTCTCTGCCATGCTCAACATGCACCTTCCATATCTAGGTCCTAGATGGTTGTTTTAGGTCCCACCACCGCACCCGCAACCCAGAAGCAAGAAGGGAGAAAGAAGAGGAGGACACGTGTACATTCTTTTCCTTTTAATTGTACAATCCTGAAGTTGTATGATTCACTTCTATCCAAGTTCCACTATCTGGTACTGAGTCACATGGCCACTCCTAGCTACAAGGAAGGTTCAGCAGGATGACAGAATGAATAATTGATTGACAAGAAGCAGTCTGTGCCACACAGGATATTAACACAAGAGGTATATGGAAAGAAAAGTTAGGGTCAACTTAACACAATATTGTAAAATTAAGTCTTATATCATCATTAATTAACTTTTCCATCATTTTCCTTTATATTCATCAAGGTCCTCTTTTCCCACCTTGTTCCTGAAGAAGGAAACATTTACCATGTTTCCCTGTATCCCCACACAACGAACAAGGGATTCATTAGAACACTGCTTTATTAATATGTCTGGAATAAATATTTATTGAATATTAATGAAAGCTGAGTGAGCTTCAAAATACATCCTCTGATGACAATAGATTAGGAGAACTCTTTTTAAATAAAAAATGGTTTTTGGGGGGAAAAAACCCTTAATCATAAAAGGTGATTTTTGAAGCATGTCTAAGATGCCCGATCTATCATATTGTGACTTATCATGGAAAAAAATGATATTAATATCCTTAAATGTTATAAATTTATGATTTAATTATAATGTATACATAAAATTTAATTTATATATAAGAAATTAATTCCGTATTATATTTTAATGTATAATTGTACGTATAATATCATGTATATAATATAGATGAATACATAATATTATGCACAATAAATGTATATATTGCTCTGCTGGACAATATATACATCAAGAAACAGACCTGCCCGCACCAAGTCGGCGCCAGCCGGCGTGGAACTACGGCTGCCCTCTGCCTGCAGAGAGCGAGCGAGGCTGGGGATGCCCTGGCGTACACCCCCAAGCTCCTGGATGACCCGCAGCGGCCCTGCGGCCCTCATCAGCGGGTCCTCGTCTTTGCGTCGTACATGACCCCGGTGACAGAGGATGTGAAGCCCGCCGACCTCAGGAAGGACATGAATGAGACCTTCTGGAAGAAGTTCCGCACACGGAGCTGACACTGAGCAAAGTCACGCGTTCACAGCAGGAGATGCGGAAGCTCTGCGAGGAGGGCAGCCTGCAGCTGTGACCGTGTCGGTGGCCGACGGGGACTCGGGGAAGCTCACGCCGCAGGGCCAGCTCTACAAGCAGATCCGCAAGCCGCGCGCGGGGCGTGCGCGCTCCTCCAGCCGAGATCGGCAGGGGCCCCCGCGAGGACGAAGGGAGCAGCTCATCCACAAGGCAGAAGGAGGTTTTCGATTCATCAGCTGGGATCTCATTGGGTTTGAGTTCACGGTGCTCGCGGCCTTGGAGCTTGCTATCTTCCCGAGAACCGGGTGTAACCTCATTACAGACGCCTCGCGCAGCGGTTCCAGCCTAGGCTGGCCTCTGCTCAGGGGGAAGGCGGCCACCGCTGACCAGCGACAGTCCCTGGCGCGCGAGGCGCCGACGCACTTTTGTGGGTCCAAGGGGGTGTTTCCAGGCACTGAAGCGCGTGCCCCGCCGGCCCCCACTGTTGCGCCCACCCGGCAGGGCTGCGCCTGCCCTTCCTCTCTTTACACCGTTGCTTCCTGTAGAGACATTGTTTTCATTCCCAAGTGCCTCACATCGCCAATGGTATTTCTGAGATTCTTCCTGGATTCTCACATGAACAAAATGTGCGGTTTTGTTATTGGTTGTTTTGTGCGTGTGCGCGCGCGCCTGAGACCGGTCTGGCACCAGGACTTTTGATTTGCATTGTGTAGTGGTGAATCAAAAATGATATTGTGATAGTTACATTCCTGTTATAGGTTTGGGTTTGAAAGCCTGGGAGGGTTTTAGTTCCTTCTTAGCCCTTTGCCTACAATTAGCGTAGGCTGGGACCAGAGAAAGTAACATCTTAGATTTGGAGGAAATATTTCCCATTTCCCATAGGAGCGAGACACTAAGATATTGAGTTATGTGCGTTAATATTCAGTTATGTTTTTCCTATATAGGGGTAAAAGCTAAAGATAAAAACAACCCAGTGTTAGCACTAACATGATACACAGTTCAGAGGTTTTAAATGAGTATGATCACCCACAAATATATACTGTGACAAATATTGTACAATAGAACCTTGGTCTTTCCAACTGAAATTAGAGTTAGAACTTTCTGCATGCTTCATGATTCTGATATCTCTGGTTATTTTCTGCCAAAAACACTTATAACCACACTTTGATATTCTTTGATGAGAGAAACCTGACCTCAAAGCAATTCAATTCAATTTGCATTTATTGAATTTCTTATATTTGCAAGAAATCTACATGAAGTTTGATCATTAAGTTCCTGCCTCAAACTTCAACCAAGCTCTCAAAGTACCGTTTTCTATATTTTTTTTCCTACGTGTAGAAGCAGAAGATTGAGAATACACACAATTTAGCGTGTATGGATATTTGTCAAAGTATGATTATTCTTTTCTAATTAGCGGTTTCCCTTACAATCAAGTGTGGTTCTTTCATACGTTTTTCCTGTTTTAGAAGAGGCCCTCTCCCTTTTCTCCTTTCAATAATCACAGCTAATTAAAATAATAAATACTTCTGTTAGTAAGACTGTCAATGAACTAGTTTTACAATGTACAACTGACTCCACCAAATACATTCCAGCTTTCTCAGAAAGCAATATTCAAAGGTTGTTTTTTTAAAGGCATGTTTTGTAAACATGGATCTAAACTGGTCCCTACACAGACTTGCTATACATCAGTCCTCAAAGTTGCTGATATAACTACTTCTATAGATAAAGTATTCCCAATATTTTAGAGAAGTTAGAGTATGATTCTTATAATTACTCTTACCTCTTTGAATTAGTGTCTGAGTACTGGGAAGTAATTCTGACCATGGCATGAATTCACATTGCTGTATATCCACAAAATACCCAAAGATAGAATGTTCACCAGTTGGTAGGTTGATGGCTACATTTGAAAATGATAAATAAATAAATCCAAGTAAGAAAGAGGTTCATTTACGGAACGTTTCAGTAACGATATGATCTCTATGCAAAAGATTTGTTGAACCAGAAATAATAACTATTCACCAAGGGTATATCCAAATACGTAAAGCTGGCCTTTTTTTCCTTCTAATCTTTAATTGTATAAAAGCAAAGTTTTACTAACTTTTTGTCTTTTTTATATCCAGAAAGCAAGGTGAATCATGATCCATTATCCTTTGAAATCTTACCCAAAAGTTCTGCTTATTACCACGTGTTGGATATTATTAAATGCCAGTAATATACTGGTTGTGGTCAAACCAATAAATTAGAGAACTCTGATACTTATTGCAAATGACCTTTACTTTTCCATTAGAAAAGTAATAAATTTTCTTAATAGATTCTGGAAAATACAGAATAATAAAAGCGAAAGAATTTAGCCATGGTTTCATCATAGAAAGATAACAGGGTTCATATTTGATATATTTCTTTGAATCATTTATAAAATTTTTACATACAGTAAAATTCATTTTGGGGGGGTATACAGTTCTATGAATTTTTTTGCATGTATTCTTGTAACCACCATAACAGACAGGACACAGAACAATTCTAAAACCCAAAGAATTCCCTAGTGCTGCCCCTTTTGTATTCAGACTAGTCTACCAATCCTAACCCCTAGCAACCACTGATCTGTTCTCTATTTTTATATTTTTCTTATTCCAGAATGTCATAAATGGAATCATACTGTATGTAACTTTTTGAAACTGAGTTCTTTGACTTAGCAGAATGCATTTAAGAGTCATCCACATTGTTCATCATTATTCATCAATAGTTCATTTCTTTTCATTGCTGAATAGTATTCCATTGTGTACCACAGTTTATCTATTTTCCCATTAAAGAATATTTGAGTTGTTCCCAATTTTTGTCAATTACGAATAATGTGCCATAAATCTTTGTGTATAGGTTTTGGTATGACTATAAGTTTTCTTTTTTTAAGACAAAAGTTCAAAGAGATTTTTTTTTTTAAAGGAAGATTGGCCCTGTGCTAACATCTGTTGCCAATCTTCCTCTTTTTCTTTTTTTTAACTCCCCAAAGCCCCAGTACATAGTTGTGTATCACAGTTGTGGAGTTGTAGCTCTTCTATATGGGATGCTACCTCAGCATGGTTTGATGAGCGGTGCGTCGGTGTGCGCCTAGGATCCAAATCTGCGAACCCTGGGCTGCTGAAGCAGAACGCGTGAACTTAACCACTACGCCACTGGGCCGTGCCCTGACTATAAGTTTTCATTTCTCTAGGATAAATATCCAGAGGTGAAATGCTGAGTCATATCGTAAGTGCATATTTAACATTTTTAGAAACCCTCATACTGCTTTCCGGAGTGGCTGTATCTTTTTATCTTGGCAGTATCCGAAAGTTCCTGCTACTATGCATCCATGCTAACACTTGGTATTACTGATTTAAAAATGTTTTATTCTTCCAGCTTTATTGGGACATAAATGACAAATAATATTGTGTAAGTTTAAAGTGTACAACATGATGATGTGATACACACATATTGCGACATGATTACCACAGTAAAGTTAGTTAACATCTCCATCTGCTTACACAAATACCTTTTTTCTGTGTGTGAGAATGTTTAAGATCTACTGTCTTAGCAACTTTCAAATATACATGACAGTATTGTTATCAGTGGTCACCATGCTGTACATCACATCCCCAGAAATTATTTACCTTATAACTGGAAGTTTGTACTCTTTGACCAACATCTCCTCATTTCCCCCACTCCCCCAGGACCTGACAACAACCATTCTATTCTCTGTGTGAGTTTGGTTTTTTTAGATTCCACATACAAGTGAAATCATACGGTATTCGTCTTTCTCAGTCTGACTTATTTCATCTAGTGTAATGCCCTCAAGGTCCATCCTGTTGTCACAAATGGCAGGATTTCCTTCTTTTTTATGGCTGAATAATATTCCATTGTATATACATACACCACATTTTCTTTATCCATTTATCTGTCGATGGACACTTAGGTTGTTTCCATGTCTTGGCTGTGGTGAATAATCCTGCAATACATGTTGGGGTGCAGGTATCTCTTTGAGACAGTGTTTTCATTTCCTTTGGATACATACCCAGAAGTGGGATTGCTGAATCCTATAACAGTTCTATTTCTAACTTTTTGAGGAACTTCCATACTGTTTTCCATAATGGCTGGACCAATCTACATTCCCACCAACAATGTACAAAGGTTCTCTTCTCTCCACATACTTGCTAACATTTGTTATCTCTTGTCATTTTGATAACAGCCATAATGAGATATAACTTCATACCCACTAAAATGGCTATAATATGTAAGACAGACAATGAAAAATGTTAGTGAGGATTTGGAGAAACAAAACCCTCACATATTGTTGATGTAAAATGGCGCAGCCACTTTGAAAATAGTTTGGCGTATCTTCAAAAGTTAAACATAAACTACCATATGACCCAGCAATTCCAGTTCTAGACACCTACCCAAGAGAAATGGAAATATATGTCCACAGAAAGACTTGCACATGAACGTTCATAATAACATCATTCACAATAGCCCCAAACTGGAAACACCCAGTTAGTTGTCTATCAACTGATAAATGTATAGACAAAACTGGTATATCCATAGAATGAAATACTATTAAGCAACAAAAAGAAATTGACTACTAATAGATGGTATATTATGGATAAGGCTCAAATATGTTATCCTAAGTGAAAGAAGCCAGACACAGAAGACCATATACTGTATGAGTCCATTTACTAAAATGTCCATTAAAGCTAAATTTATAAATAGAGAAAGCAGATTAGTAGTTGCCTGAGAATGGAAGGGGTACTGGGGATTAACTGTAAATGTCAGGGATCATATTGGGAAGGTGAAAATATTCTAAAACTGATATGAGGGGAAGGTTGTACCACTCAGTAAAGTTATTCAAAGTCACTGAGTTATATACTTGAAATGGGTGAATTTTTTGATATATGAAATATACCTTAATAAAACCCTGTCATCTCAGTTCAGCAAGACCACCACCCTCTGTTTAGGTTCTCCTCCCTGGGCCACGGTCTGGAAAGTTCCTCCAGGTAGATAGTTGGGGCAGTCATATGATTCATCCCATTTGCTACCCCTTGGGCAAGGCCATGGTTTACTACTGTCCATTCCAAGTAAATGAGAATGCTTCTGATTCTCCTTAATAGGAATTGAAAAGAATGCCTTCACCAGGGCGATAACACATATCACATGTTACTAGGGCTGCCCTGCTCTAGTAACACACTAGCTGGTGGAACTGAGACTACTACTGGTTTAAGTTATTATAGTCCACTGTCGCCCCTTGATTCATCTTTTTTATTTACAAGAACTAAGTTGTTGGATTAAATAAGGACATAATGGGTAAATCATACCTGCATTCTTGAAGTCTTTGAGGGTGTCATTGATATCTAACATTCCACCTGGGATGTGGTATTGGTTTTGATTTACTATCTTGGCTGTGGGTAGGGAGAGTTTCAGGGGCTTTCTCTTGGCTCTACTTGCATATGGATCCTATTCCACAGGTCAGGAAATTAAGGTGAAAGTTTTTGCCAGCTGCTAAGTATATTCATTCTGATTACATATTTAGGTGCTGGGGAAATGAACACTAGGTGGGTCTGTGAATGAATTGTGGGATGGAGCTGTGCCGGGATTTTATTCACCTTTCCTCCATAAGCACCCACTCTAACCAGGGGGACATGATGGTGTTTTGCTTCTACTGGTATAACTATTAGCTCCAATATGGTATCCAATTATCCTTGAAAGATCCAATATTTCCTCTTTCCCAGTGATAGTTATTCTGATAAATAACTGTAGTTCGCTAGTTGCTTTGTCATTGCAGGTCCTTCCTAAGTGGAACTGCCTTTGTCTCACCAAGATGTGAGTGCCAGGGGTGCTCATTGCTACTTAGGTGTCACTGCTTCTAGGCCCTCTCAGCAGAGAGCTAAGAAATATACGTATACTAACCCATATATACATACATCTCTATTTATCTCTGCATCTATCTGTGTATATATTAAGAAAAGAAAGCATGAGTTCAGACTAATACCTTTGTATAAGTTTCCTGTGGCTGCTGTAACAAATTACCATAAACCTAGGGGGCTTAAAAGAACACAAATTTATTCTCTTACAGTTCGAGAGGTCAGGAGTCCAAAATGTTTTCAATGGGCTAAAATCACAGTGTTGGCAGGATTGCATTCCTTCTGAAGGCTCTCAGAGAGAATCCTTTTCTTTGCCTTTTCCAGCTTTGAGAGGTCACATGCATTCCTTCGCCCCTTCCTCCATCCTCAACTGCACAACTGCGTCACTTCAACCTCTGCTTTCATCAGCACATCTCCTTCTTTGACTCCTCTGCCTCCCTCTTCCACCATTACCGCCTCCCTCGTCCACCATTACCGCCTCCCTCGTCCACCATTACCGCCTCCCTCGTCCACCATTAAGAACTAGGCTGAGCCCACCTACATAATCCAGGATAATCTCCCCATCTCAGAATCCTTAACTTAATCACATCTTTAAAATCCCTTTTGCTATGAGAGCACATATGCACAGATTCCAAAGATTTAAGATGTGGGAATCTCTGGGGAGCCATTATTCTGCCTATCACAGTCCAGCGAAAGAGGGTTCATTGTAACATATGTCCTTTGCTTTCTTTCTCTGTTGTTGTTTTTCTCTTGCAACTGAGAACTAGTTTGTGAGGAAACGGTTTCAGACTATGGAACTTACCTGCTCTTCATCAAAATTTTGCCCTAAGTTTAGCATCCGTTGGTATTCTTGCCTGATCTTATCTTTAACTAGGATGGCTACAATGGATATACTTTCTGTAGAATAGAACTGTTATCCTAAACTTTATATTATTCCTACAGATAATTTTTTCAAATTTAATAATAAGTTAAAGGTAATTAGCAGAAACAAGATAACAGCCACAAATTAAAAAGACTTGAATAACTGGAATTATCAGGTGCATATTTGAAGACAGCCATGCTTACTATGTTTAAAGAAATAAAAGTAAGCTTGAAAATACCTAAAAAGGAAGGAGAATTAAGACTTGGAAGCAACCTAAGTGCCCATCAAGGGACGAATGGATAAAGAAGATGTGGTATATATATACAATGGAATACTACTCAGCCATAAGAAACGATGAAATCCAGCCATTTGTGACAACATGGGTGGACATTGAGGGTATTATGCAAAGTGAAATAAGTCAGAGGGAGAAGGTCAAATACCGTATGATTTCCTTCATTAAGTAGTAGATAATAACAACAATAAACAAACACATAGAGACAGAGATTGGATTGGTGGTTACCAGAGGGGAAGGGGGGAGAGGGGAGGGTGAAAGGAATAATTCAGCACATGTGTGTGGTGATGGGTTGTGATTGGTATTTGGGTGGTGAACATGATGTAATCTATGCAGAAACAGAAGTATAATGATGTACATCTGAAATTTATACAGTGTTATAAACCAATGTTACTGCAATAAATAAAAATTAAAAAAATAAAAAATAAAAAATAAAATAAAATGAATAATCTAAAACATAAAAAAAATATATTTCAACTTCTATAAAAAAAAAAGGAAGGAGAAACTATAAAAAAGTGACATAGTCAATTTGAAAAGGAAACAAACAGACCTTCTAGAAACGAAAAATACAATAGAAATTAAGAGCTCAACAACAATAAAACCAGAATCATACTTAATGGGGAAACTCTTGAAGCATTACCATTTATGATGGCAAAAACAAAACCAAAGAAAAAAAGATGAAATACTTAAGACCAAACTTAATAAGAAATATGCAAAATCAATATGAAGAAAACTTGAAAACTCTTTCTTTTCTAGCTTTAATTCCTTCTTTGATGGTGCCCAGAGTAGAGTTGGTCCAGATCACTGAATTTTTCATTTAAATGACTACATTTTTCATTTCCAGAATTTCTATTTGGTTCTTTTTCATAGCCATATGTTCTTTTTTCATTTCTACTTTTTTTGATTCATAATTGCTTATTTATTTTAAAATGGATGCCATTTCTTCATTTATCTTTTTGAGAACCCTAAACATATTTATATTAAAATCTCTGGTAGGCCATAATAATTTCAACTGGGATGAATTAATATTATGATGGGTGATTTTGTTGGTTTACTTTCTTAGCATTAGTTCCTTTATGCATTTTACAATTTTTGTTTACAGGATGATTATGAGTGGGAGGTTTTTTGGACTCCCTTTTTTTCTCTTTCTTGTTTCCAGTCTGATGGTTTTATAGTTTTATGATTGCTACCACTTGTCTCTCCTTTTCTTCCTACACCTCTGTCCTAAACTAGTTTTTATATTGGTATTTCCGATGACAAAACAAAATTTCATACTCATTGCTTTAAGATAATCTAACATAATGAATAATTTATTAACTTGTCTTTAGGTTTACAGGGAGAAGAAATAATAGAGTTTGAAGTATTTCTGCCTGACAAATAAATCAAGACAGTTTATCTGTCTTTAGGAGTTAGTGACATCGAGTTGAATTACTAAATTCAACAACAAATTAACACACAATGCTTTGATATTACAAGTTAATTTCCATAGGAAATAACATAAAAACTTTGCAATCCAGATGTCTTAAATGGAACTTTTACAAATAACCTCAAAAAGATACTTTAAGAGTTACATCAGACAGACTAGTGGGATTTGTACTTTTGGTAATGTTTTTAGATTTCATCTTTATTTAACAAAGTTCTTCTAAATACATTCATGTTCAATATTTTGTCTCTTTTTGGCACCTGCATCAATGATCTCTTTACCTGTTCAAAGTTCCTTTAATCAGTAACAGCTAATTGGGAAGGTTTACTATTTCAAAGTATTAGGACAGATTCCATTTGTTAGAACTGATTCAAAAACAAAAAATACTAAATAAATCTAAGACTGTATAAAATAATTTAGAAAATATTATTTTTTCAAAAAAGAAATGTGAGACTATAATATTCTTCTTCTACAGAAGTTCCTGCTACATGATATGTATAATACAAATCTAGTTATATAGCTGATGGGCTAAGCTCGGCTCAGTTCACAGTTTCAAGGCTTTATCTTTGCTCTTCTGCCTTATTTGAGTTACAGCTTCTTGTAGTGACAAAAATCAACCAGAAATCAAATTTTCTTCAGCCTCTTTTCATTGGAGTAAGGGTGCTGGAGTGTACTTATTAACCCTCTTTTACCTCTAATTTTAAGATTAAAAGATGAGCCTAATCAATATAAGCCCAATTATAAAGAGTTTCTAATTAATATTCTAGAGTAAGCATAATTAAGACTTCCCCCCCCCAGAACTTACCTACTTGTGAATTGCTTTCAAATAATTCATGAACAAGGTTGTCAAAATCATAGGTTACTCTTGCAAGAGAATCAGGTTCAAGATTTGAATACAACAGTACATCATCTTCGTGTTCATCTTCACGTTTTAAAGTTCCTCCAAATGCCCAAGTAAATGCAAACACGAAAAGCTTTTGAATCATTGTTTTTAATTTATCAGGATTTTTCTCCACATACCATGTATTTTCAGCGCTGGGACAGATATGTGTGGAAAGGAGAAGGTTAACATTTTTAGAAAGAAGTTCAGTAATTTATTTCAATATCATGTCAAAGTTTCATTATTAAAAATTATAATACAGTTAAGTGTGGACATAAAAGTTTTAGAGTTAATGTATAATTTTCCTTTGACAAGACATGTAAATTATACACTGCTACTGTTTTTATTTTTAAAGTACTATATGTGTAAGAGATTTGTAGTCAATCTTTATTTCATTTATTTAGTACATATGATTCACTTTTATTTTAGGTCAACTTATTAGTTGAGTTTACCTGTCTTTCTGGAGAGGTTCTGATAATTCTCCATTTTATGTAGAAAGACGCAAGTGAATAGTCATTTGCTCTGTACTCCTCTCAACCAAGTTCTAGAGGTTGATGTAGTTCAACCTGGCTAAAGCCAGGCAGGGGAATCTGGGAAGAATCTTCTCCAGTCTGGGTCAACCCAGGTCATCCTGGTCTGTGGGACCCCGAAATTCTATAGTGATAGGGCTGATGGTGATGCAGCTGAACAAAAGGTTTGGGCCTGATTTCAAGACATTTTGAATAGTTCAGGATTTAGCATCATCATAAAATGATTTATAAATTATGAAAATCCTAAAAATATATCACTGAACTGAAATTTATGGGCAATCATTAATGTACAGCGCACGTGTACAATTCTATTTGAAATTTCTAGTCATGTGTAATAGTTCATTCAGCAAATATTTATTGAATTCATACTATATTATCAGTTACTCTGAACAAAACAAACATGATCACTTATTTCTAGGACAGGAAAATGAATACTAAATCATGGTAAACGGGAAAAATAAAGAGTCAAGTGCAGCATGAAGAATAGTCGTAGAGATAACTAATTTAGATCGTGGGAGTCAGGGCAGACTCTTTGAAGAAGCAAGGGTTAAACTGAGACCTGAAGAATGAGTGAGATTTGGCAAAGTGTAGGAGGAAGAGCATTTGGGCAGAAGGAATACGTGTGCCAAGACCACGAGGTCAAAGATCACGGCTACTTTGAGGAACTGAAAAAGCAAAGCCAGTGTCATTGAAGCACATATAGTGAGTGGAAGAGATTAGGAGTTGAGTCTGGAGAGCTAGGCAGGGACTTTCTTAAGTTGTACCAAGGTTTTTTTCCCTTCTGCTCTGAGTGTAATGGGAAGTCATTAAATGGCTATAAAAAGAAACATTCTAATTTATGTTTTAAAAAAATCAAACTCTTGCATATAAACACTAGGTGACATGTACAAGCATATTAATCATAGAAGTAGTTGTAGTAAAAAATTGAAAACAACCTATATGTTTACCAATGGATAAAGAAATTGTGACATTTGTATAATGGACTATTAGCGGAGAAAATGAATAAAGAACCCCTACATGCACAATGGATTAATCATAGGGACATAACATTGAACAAAAAATGCAAATCACAAGAGAACACAGCGATTCCATTAAAGTTTAAAAACATGCAAAGTTGAAAAACACAGTCATGTGTTGCTTCCCGACGGAGACATTCTGAGAAATGAGTTGTTAGACAATTTTGTTGTTGTGTGAACATCGTAGAGTGTACTTACACAAACCTAGACGGTACAGACTACTACACACCTAGACTATATGGAACTAATCTTATGGGACCACTGTCATATATGCAGTTAATTGTTTACCGAAAAACTGTTATGCAGCACATGTGTATATTGTTTGGGAATATATTAATAAACACAAAATCCAGGAAAGTAGTTATCTCAGATGATGTGATAGTGTAAGATCTAGATAGGTACATAGGGGACTTCAAAGATAAAGCAGTATGTTTTTTCTATAACTGAATGCTGTGTATATGGATGTTTGTGTATTGTTATTTATATCTTACACATTTTATAAATATTCTTTTATGGCTACTTTCTATTTAATAAAAATTAAAAATAATATATGGTTGTCATGTTGAGAATGGACCGGAAGAATTGGGGAAACCAATCAGTAGGCTATTGCAACAGTACAGGCAAGAAATATGGAACGTTTGGACCAGGATGCTGACAATCAAGACACAGACGAGCAAATGAATTTGCAGGCAGAATTGACAGGTAGAGTAAAACCATATTTAGAATGTTCTATCATTTAAAAGAATGTTAAATAGGACTCATAATGAGATGTAGGAAGGCCTCAACAGTGACTTTCCTGTCCTACAAAATGGCAGAAGAATTGTAGAGCTAATAATTTCTATAGCTATAATTTATTGAGCACTTACTATGCACCAGGCACTATTCTAGATTCTAGCACATCATATTATTCCAGTTTTATAAATGAGAAAATCAAAGGTCAAAAATATTTAGTAAATGGTTCAACATTTCTCAGCTCATAAATGGCAGATTCATGAAATCGATTCATATCAATTTTATGTATGTACAGAGGCTGGACAAATAAATTCATTTTATTCATATAACTTAGCATCAAAATCTGGTGATCTTGTGTTAGATATACAAGGACTCTATCTAAGCTGGAATAAAATAAATTTAAGTGGATTTGAATACTATGAAATCACAAAAGCATTTGTTTATTGACAGGTAATCCTGCACCTGTTTGAGTTTTGGCACCTAGCGAGTCCCAAAACACGTCTGTTGAGTGAATGTAACTGACCTCTTCTCTGTATTCGTGAATTTGACAGAAACTTCTGAATGTGGAGAATCTGTCTCCTCAGCTGAAATATCCTTCGAATCTTCACCTTAAAAAGCAAAGAGTATTTTTCCACAATTAACAACAGACGTAAAATTTAGCTGGTTAATTAGTGAGGTTTAACCTTTACCATTGTTTAGTCTGTGAATTGTCATAGGAAGACAACTTTGTTTCACATACAGTACCTTAGAGTCATCTCATCAGACCAAAGTGGGAGTTACTAAGAGAAGGGGAGCAAAGAATGTACCTGCAATTGTCTGAATCAATTCTCATTTAGTTGAAGTGTAAACCTGCATACTTTTGTTCTTCATTCTATTCTGGCAGCTTTTTTTGTAAGTTTGATTGTTCCAAAATGAAAATTTGAAAACATTCAGGTGACTACCTCCAAATGTGGTGCACATTATAAACTAAATAATAAATGGGTCCTAATAAGGTGAAGCCTTAAAAAAGAGACCTATATGCTTTCAAAATTCATCCAACAGGTGCACTTCAGGCAGACTGTAGTTGTCTCTCTCCTACCCCCCTCACCCACCTTTTTAGGCTTCTCGTAGAATATTTAGAAATGGAAGAAAATAGCAATCACCCACAAGTCCACTACCACAGATAACAACCATTAAATGCTGATGCATTTCATTATAGTCTTTTACATAAATATATAATATTTAAAAATTTAAACAAAAAATTAAAAGGAGACTTTGGTTTTCATTCTGCTTTATTTATTTTAAGTCTATCTTCACGCCTTTCCATTGCACCATAATTTATGAAGCAATTCTCCTATTGTCGGAATTCAGATTATTGCTGTTTTTATGATTATAAATAATTCTGCTATAAATGAAGCTCCTTGCATAAGTCTGTACACTTCTGTGATTATTTCTTTATAATAAATTCCTAGAATAAGAGATACTAGGGCAGACTTTATGGATATTTTTAGCATGTGTTGCCAAATGGCTCACCAAGAAAGGCTGGATCAATTTATACCTCCAGTAGCTTCTGTGAGAGTTATGTTTCAGCACATTCTAGCTATCAATGTGTTTTCTCTATTTAAAAATCTCTTTGCTTATTTCATTATCTGTAAGGTTAAACATTTTCTTTAAAAATTTATTTATTGGAAATTTTAGTACTTGTGAAAATATCCCTGTGACCCAAGTAACTTTTATATCTGCCCCCTCCTCTATTCTGTCTCTAGTCATTTCATAGCTTAGTTGGAATGTTCAGGAAGACTATCCCATATAAACACATATTGTGAGATGTAGAAGGAATGGCATTGCATATTTGAGGGTTATATAAACTCCTGCAAAATTTTTGGCAGTAAAATATATGTAGTCTGTTATATGGATGCTAACCTTTGAATTTTTATTCATCTTCCAACTATATACACACACTCACATATACCCATATATATATGTATATATTATACAAATAAATATATTTAAATATACATAATATTTAATCTCTTTAACACTTCCTGATGTATTCTGGGAGAGTTCTTTGACTGTTCTAGCTCTCACTGATTTGTTATTCAGCTAACCAAGCCAGCATTCAACCCATTTTTATGTTCTTTAATTTTTTTGAGTCCTAACCTCCATTTGTATCTCTTAACTACTTCTTGCTTTGTTTCCAGTACTCCCATTTCCCTGGCTTGCACGTCTGTTGAATTTAGAAATGTGTATCTGGGGAGGGAGTGGACACTCTTCAAGAGAGAAGTTGTGTTTAACAACCTATATCTACTCTGGCACTGCTTTTTTTCAAGTGTGGTCTCTCTCTTAATCATTTAGGCTTTAAGATGAGAAGGGAGTTGGCAGTAGGAGGAAATATGTTTTTACCTGCTTTCTAACCTAGTCAGGCTTCACTGCCACCATATTTTGTTGCTGCCTCTAGCTGTGCTGTGGTGTGCTAACTGGCAAAGGGAAGGACAATAGCTCATTCAGAGCCATGAGGAGAAGGAGAAAGGGCGACCCTAAATATTCTCCCCTATTTTATCTCTGATTCATGGTATGAGCTCTCTTCTGCTCAGGGTTGCTGTTTTCCCCCACTGGGACCTTAACCATCTTGTCATCCCAGGGATTTCTCACAATTTCTGTTAGTTTGATGGATCCAAAATTGAGTTTTGGAGACAGAGTTGGGAGCCTGTGTTAATTTGCCATCTCATCTGAATCTTTTGATCTCTCCTTACATATGTTTTATTACTTTCCATGTTTATGCCTTTGCATGATTACAGCTTATGCCTAGGATTTTGGACAGATATTTTCCCACTATTTCTATCTCTAAGAATCTTTAAAACATAGCAATAACATTCTTCCCTAGTAGAGACCCTCTAAGGATTCTTTATACTCATTTTTCTTGTGACCCTTCAACACTTACGTATGGCATTAATATACTTTATTGATATGTTCCTCTATAAATGATTTTTAGTTTGTTCCATATGCATGTCTGCTGTTGGTTCAAACAGACTGAAAATTCCTGGCCTTCCCTTTCTTTATTTTCTCTTATAAAATCTAATAGAAGATGATAAATAATTGGTATTGACTAGCTGAGACACAACATCATTAATATAACTTAGAGGGAAAAACTCACGTTGTCCAAAGCCTCCATTTTTATCCATGAATTCAAAGAAAGCATCAAGAATTCTGCACAGAGTTATAACAATTGTTATGTCTTGTACAGGAAATGGCTGAAATTTCTGATGCTTCTTTATAAACTGTAGTCCATTTGTGACACTATTTTTAATCATGAATTCAAGAAAATCCACTCCTGATTGACTCATAATTTTTGAAGTTTTCAAAAGCCATGACTTAACATAAGGTTCCCATCCCAGATCAACAGGATCCTACCAATAAAAAACACAAGATAATTTTATGTAAATAAATAAAAATACAATGTCCACCTACTTTCTTAGCATTTCTTTACTTCACCACTGCCCCCTGCCAAATATGGTTTAGAACCATCACTCATTAAAGGCAAGTGATCAAAACCCTTCTTTGAAATGATTTGTGATTTTTAACCATGGTCTTATAAGACAAAGAGCATTTGGGGGACTACGTGTAGGGAGGTGTGTGAGGCTATGTGTATGTGGTGAGGGGAATTGCTTACCCAGAAAATCAGCACTATACTTAGCTTTATTCACTACATTGAGTTAAGTAGATACCAACACAGGGCTAATCATGGCTAATAATTAATTTCAAGTACAGAAAAAATTTATTCTTTGTTGTGTCTTCTACCTCCTTACCACTGTCTTGGTAATGTGTTTCACAAGTCCTAAGAGTTATGGAGTGGATGTGAAAGGTTTCAGGGCAATCTTCCCTCTATTGGAAAAATAATTCATACTAGCAGCCTAACTTGTCACCGTTGTGAAAAATACTGACATTTCAATTACTGAGTAGTATTAATAACAGTAGTAACTACACTCCTATTCACTTCTGGGTTAGGAGGCTTTAGGGGACACAAAACTTCTTAACTACTCGGATTGCCCTGGATCCAGAAGTAACAATGAAATAAACATAAAAAATGCTGTAGATAATGATTAGTTATTATTCTAGACAACACATTTTCTTTAAGAAATTTGTTTTTGAAAACTTACCATATACACCACTGCACATCGGCTGACAATAGCAGGACTGGCCTGAGAGAGACTGTCAACTTCAAAAATCACTCTTATTTTATTAGTTAAAGGTATTCTCTCACTGTTTGCTAGGCACAACATTCTAGTGTCATCTAGCATAGAATTTAGATTTTCTACCCAAAAGGTATCCACTGGACCATCTAAAATAATCCACTGCCAATCGAAGTCTGGAGAGAAAAATATTTTTAATGTAACAGAGAATAATCTCAGTCTTCTTTCACTGAAGTCTTGCAAACTTTCTATTTTTTTTAGAACATAGTTTCTAATTAAGATGAAGAATTATATTCCAGAAAACACTAGATTCAATGTGTTTATATGTAGTCTCTAATATCTATTAAATATGAATAAATATTCAGACCATATACTTAATAATGCTTTAAACATTGCTGTGATATTTTTAGATTGTTAAATTATATAATTAGCCCTTAAAATTTAGATAAGAGAAAGATCCATGAATTTATTTTTTCGATAATACTATGGTTTGTGAATTTTCCCCTTCTACCCAGGAATATTTTTTGGATATGCTGCCTCTGGGAATAGGAAAGGAAAACAGATGCCCTTTGAAGAAAGAATCAAAGAGACATATTTTACAGTATTTCACACTTGCAACTCATTTACTCCTTTTTCCACACTCTACATGCCCCTACATGGCTCCATAGTTTTAGAAAATCTATTGGTCAGGAGGTATGAATGGGTCACTACAGAGATAGAAAATAGCTAACCACATGAAAGACATTAAAGTTTCCCAAAAGAACAGGTGAGTAGAGCTAGGATCCAGATAGCCACTACTGCTAAGATGAGCTCTGACTGGCTGAGATACCTGCCTTGGGGATTGTCTTAAAACTATACGAAGGAAACTTATTATGCCCAATTACTGTACTCTCCCAAATTGAATACCAAAGAGTGACACACAAAAATTAAGGAATTCTAAGAAAGTAGAAGCAACAGCAGAAGTCTCTTTCAAAGCCTGGAACATAAACGTACTGCTGGTGGATGTGCTGATATGAGGTTCAAGCTGGAGTAGTGAAAGCAATGGTGGGGGCCTCTGCAGCAGACTGTCAGCTCCTCTGGAGCAGGGACCTTGTCACATACACTCTCAGTCCCCCTGGCACATAGCAAAGTGGCATATAATAGCCATAATAGCATAAGGGGCATAATTTTAGATGAATACGCTTGGGTTGTATGATTTGGCCTGGGAATGTACAGATTGTCTGGAATCCCACTTCAGAGGTAATACTATTGTAGGTTGCCATTGCTGCCTCTCACACAATATTTATTTCTACATTTAACATCTACTTCGCTCTTGTGAGATATTAACGGTCATTTATAAGCTAAAAGGGCTAGGTAAGCCCTTGTATTTATATAACATAATTACATATGTATATACTGTAATATAATATGTCGTAATACTATATAAATTTTAAATAAACACGTGAGGAAAATTAAATAGTACAAGAACAAAATATCACTAATCAAAAGAGTTTTAAAGATATAAATAAAGCTCATATTGGTTCAGTTTGTCTTCTCTGTTAATTAATCATCTTTACTGAATTTAATAACAACACTTACTCTGACTTTCTGGAGTTTTAACATCTTTTTCCATCTCCTTCTCAAAATTATTATCATCAACATCTGCTGTATCAGAGGAGTTAAGTTTGAAAACCTAAAACAGGTAATCAATAATGTTTAAATTTTTATTTGGTCACACTTTCCAACTCAAATGGACCAAATGTCAATATGCTTTCTTGAGTGATAAAAATATGAAAGGCAGAAGGTTCTGTAGCTGAAAAGACCAACAAGTAATCAGCACAGTATAATGTAACTGAGTGTGAAACAGGTCATTTTCTTTTAGAAAAATCTTTTATTTTAGTTTTTTTCCCCAAAAAGTTAGTACATGCTTGTACAATATTCAAATAATACAGCAAAGCACAAAGAAGAAAGCAAAAGGTCTCTGAATTTCCACCATTTGTAAAAAACTCACTGCTGACATTCTGGTGTATATTTTTCCTAGACTTTCCTTCATGATAGAGTTTTTAGGGTACACAAAAACTACCTGCAGGTTTGTTAAACTGCATATTCTAACACCTCATCCTTGGAGATTCTGATTGAATGGGTTTGGGATGGAGACCAGGAATTTTCATTTTTAATAGGCTCCCCAGGTGATTCTTAATACAGGTTGTTCTCACACCAATCGCTGAGAAATTCTTATCTATGCAGATAGTTAACTCTTTATTATCTGGGGGGCTTACTTAGTTATCTCCCCAACACGGCTGAGTAACATATCATCAGCTGACTGGCATTGGTTTCCTTTACCACCAGGAATTGGGGGGGAAGAAGACTAAACACTAGAGCTGTGCTGGGGGCACAGTGTGGGCTCTGAAGAGAGAGACCGAATACGGGTGTGAGGACCATGTTTCAACCAGAGCCTAGCAATGCAACAAATAGTAATCAGTCTCTTTCATCAGGAAGATAGATAAACAAGTCCAAGGCTATTTCCAATTATTATTCCTATTATGAAAGTCTGCAATTTTCATCCCTGTACATAAATCATTATGCTCTACTGCATTTCTTTCTCTAGATAGATATTTTTTAAAACGTGGGATTTTGGGTCAACCGTTATATGTATTTTAACCTTTAATAAATTCTACTGGATTTTTTCCTGACAGTTTGTGGCAGTAATGCTTCCACCAACAAGATATAAAAATGTGTGTTTCTCCACATCTTTGTTAACACTGAATGTTTTAGCTATCAATATTCTTAAGTTTTGAAAATTTTATGAGAAAAAATATGGTGCCTATAATTTTTATTTTTTTGACGAATACTTAGGCTCAGCATCTTTTCATATGTCTATCGGCAATTTTTATTCTATCAATTTTCTATTCATAGCCTTTCCTCATTATCTTATTTACTTGTTTAATCATTTCTTATTCATGTCTGAAGCTCTTTTTTATATTAGGGATATTAACTCATTGCCTATATGTTGTAAATATTTTCTTCCAGACTGTGGTTTGCTTTAATGTTGTTTGTTGCAACTACTGAAAACATATTTTCTTATTTATATTTATAGTCAAATCCCTTTATGTTTTCATTTATGATTTTGGGGTTCCCAATCTTAGTCAAGGACTTCCTAACTCTGAAAATATGTCCCTAAATATTATTATATTTTTATAATTTTATTTTTACATTTATATCGTTAATTCATCTGGAATTCTATTTCTGTGTAAGAAGTGAAGAAGGGTCTTTCTATGTTTTCACATAGGAAAATAGCAAATTATATAAACAGTAGTTTTAATAAGGAATGCTTTTCCCATTGATTATAAGTATTGCTTTGGTTGGATATTAAATTCCTACATACATTTGAATATGTTTCTAGACTCTATTTGCTTCCATTTCTGTGTTAGTACCTTACTGTTTTTTTTCAGGTTTTGAGTGCTATCTTTTTTTTCTTGAAATATAACATTAGTTGCAGGTGTGCAACATAATGATTCAATATTTGTATATATTGTGAAATGATCACCACAATAAGTCTAGTTAATATCATCACCACACATAGTTACAAATTTTTTTTTGTGATGAGAACTTTTAAGATCTACTCTCCTAGCAACTTTTAAATATACAACATAGTATTAATAACTACAGTCACTATGTTGTGCTGTATCTTACTATTTTGATTATAGTACGGATTTGTTCTGAAATTAGTTTAGAACATTTTAGAACTCTAAAGTACTATGGTTTTCTGCCCAGACTGTCTTTGGACTCTTGGAACATTTATGCTTCCAAATTAACTTTAAAATCATTTCATTCCATTTTAAAAAATTGGGATTTTGGTTGAAAAGACATTATACACATATATTAATTTGTTAGGGATTGGCATTTTTAGGATGGAAGTCTTTCCACTTAGGAATACAATGTATCTTCCATGTATTCAAGTTTTGTCAATTATATAGGTTTTCTTGCCTCCCTCTCCCACCCCTCACAGGACAAGTTCCTTTCTTTTACATTTATTTCAATGTATTTTTATAGATTTTGCCATTGTTAGCAGAATTTTTCCTATTTCCATTTCTAACTGGTGATCATTAGTATAAAGAATTTTATCACAGCTGCTTTACCATACGTCTTCTCTGTCAATTCTTGAAAAAGATGTAATAAAATCTCTCACTAGACTTGGATTTGTCAATTTCTCTATGAAATTCTGTCAACTTTTTCTCCATACATTTTTACATTATGTCATAGGCACATAATACTTTCGAGCTGCCATCTTTTTCAGCACCAATAGCACACTGTTTTACTCTAATTTTATAACTTGACATCTGGCAGGCCTCACCACCCAAATTCTTCCCCCTTTTTTTACTCAGGAATGTCATGGACCTTGGTTCTTCCATATTAATTTTAGAATCAGTTTGTCAAGGTCTTAAAAAACACCTCACTTTCTCTATGTCAAAACTTAATACAAAGTTCCAGTAATCAAGTGTGGTATCTGCATAAAGATAGACATACAGATAAATGGAACTGAATTGAGAGTCCAGAAATAAATTCTTACATTTATGATCAGTTGATTTTTGACAGGAGTGACAAGACAATTCAATGGGGGAAAGAATAGTCATTTCAACAAATAGGGCTGGAACAACTGGATATCCACATGAAAAAGAATGAAGTAGGATCCCTTCCTTACACCATACACAAAAATTAACTTAAAATAAACCAAAGAACTAAACATAAAAGTGCAAACTATAAAACTCTTAGAATAAAACATAGGAGAAAGTCTTTGTGACCTTGAGTTATACAAAGCTTTCCTAAGATATAATACCAGAAGGTGACAAAAGAAAAATTAGACTTCATCAAGGTTAAAAACTTTTGTGTTTCAAAGGATACCATCAAGAAAGTGAAAAGAAAACCTACAGAATGGGAGAAAATATTTGCAAATTATATATCTGATAAGGGACTTGTATTTAGAATATATAAAAAAATGCTTAAAACTCAATAATTAAAAATAACTCAATTAAAAAAAGGGTAAAGGTCTGAATAGACATTTCTCCAAAGAAAATATACAAATGGCCAATAACCACATGAAAAGACGGTCAAAATCATTAGTCATTAGGAAAATGCAAATAATAACAGATGTTGGCGAGGATGTGGAGAAAATGGAATGGTACAACTCCTTTTAACCTTACTAAACTTACATTAGACAAATCTGAGATTCTTGACTTTAGTCCGAGATCATTGTCTTTCTTTGAGTATCTTGTAGTGTTAAAGCATACATAATTTCGAATTGTTGCTGATAATAATCCATCAGTCCATTCCATAGTATTAGGATCCAGGTGTCCATATAGTTCATTAAGAGTGATACACTTTGGATTTAAAACACAAATATCTACTTTTCCTTTTCTTCCTGGAATCTGAGAAAAATTCAGTGTGGTTTTTAAAGACATTAACTATAGCACAATTATTTAATTTTTTTGAATTATTACCAAAGAATTTTAGGAGAGGTCTTTCATTCCAAAGAAAGATTCTCTATAAAGGTAGAAATTTGCAAGGGACAGCAAAAATTGACTTATTAAAATCACTATTTAAAAAAATTCTAACTATTACAAATGATAGCCCTAGAAAATAAAAAGGAAAAAAATCCCATTGTGCCTCATCCAGGAACACAATATATGAGCTGGGATGCGGTGCTTCTGGAGCCAGGGTCGGATATAGAGGTGAGGGGGAGTAGAATGTAGTTTTAAGCTTCAGGTCAGAATTGGTACTCAAGCAGACCTTATTTGCAACATATTAACCTAGGGGGTTAACCCTGGGTTAACCCAGGTCTGGGGGCTGCCTGAAGAACTGGTGTCTGTTTCACCTAACTTGGTCTCAGGCAACAAAAGTGGCAAGCACTGCTTGTGAAAGCTGCAGGAAGACTACAGACACACAGAAACCTAAGATAAGAGATTATGGATGGAGACGTACAACAGTCCATCTAACATCCTAGGGAGAAGCTAGGGTAGGAATCTTTGGGAAATTAAGACATTCAAAAGCAGCTGTGCATACAGGGGAATTGTGAAAGCCACACACAGGCCAAATCAACATGCATGCACAGAAAAGACCTGACAAGACCTTAAACTTTCATGTCAGGCTGGTCCGAAGGCTCAGCTAACCAGTGAAGAACTACTCCAGCACAGAGCAAGTCTGTAAGGACTGGGAAAGGTGGCTGTTTTTACAAATGCCCAATTTTCAACAAAAAATCACAAGGTATACAATGAAACATGAAAACATGGTCCATTCAAAGGAGCAAAATAAACTGACAGAAACCATCTCTGAGGAAACACTGGACATAGTAGACAAAAGTCTTTAAATTAACTGTCTTAAATATGGCCAAAAAACTAAAGGAAATGAGGAAAATGATATGAGAACAAGAAGGGACTATAAATAAAGAGATAGAAATTATGAAAAGGAACTAAATAGAAATTACGAAGCTGAAAATGCAATAGCTGAAATGCAAAACTCAACAGAGGCATTCACAGTAAATTTGAGCAGACAGAAAAAAGAATCAGCAAATTTGAAGATAGGACTATTGAAATTACCCAGACTCAGAAGCAGACATAAAACAACTCTCAATAAATTTTATAATATTGAAATCATACAAAGTACCTTCTCCAACCACAATGGAATGAAACTAGAAATCAATAACAGAAGAAAAATTGGACAATTTGCAAATATATGAAAATTAAACAATACACTCTTAAACAACCAATGGGTCACAGAAGAAATAGCTTGAGAATTGAGATGAATGAAAATGAAAACACTACATACCAAAACTTATGGGATGCAGTGAAAGCAGTGCAAGGAGGAAAGTTTACAGCTATAAACATCCACGTTAAAAGAGAATAAAAATCTTAAACCAATAATCTAATTTTACACCAAAGGAACTAGTAAAAGAAGAGCAAACCGAACCCATAGCTGGAAAAAGGAAAGAAATAATGATTAGAGAAGAGATAAATAAAATAGAGAGTTGAAAAATAATAGAGAGAACCATTAAGACAAAGGTTAGTTGTTGGAAAAGATCAACAAAATCGACAAAATTTCAGCCAGACTGACTAAGAAAAAAATTAAAAAGACACAAATAAATAATATCAGATATAAAAGTATGGACATTACTACTGCCTTATAGATATTAAAAAGATTACAAGAAAACACTAGGAACAATTGTATGCCAACAAATTATATAATGTAGATGAAACAGAAAATTCCTAGAAACACCAAAAATTACCAAAACTGACTCAAGAAAAAATAGAAAATCTCAAAAGATCTATAATAAGAGATTGAATCAGGAATCAAAAACCTCCAACAAAGAAAAGTCCAAACCCAGATGGTAGATTAATTCTACCAAACATTTAAAGAAGAATTAACACCAATCCTACTTAAACTCTTGCAAAAAAATGGAAAAGGGGGGAACACTTCCTAATACATTCTGTGAGGCCAGCATTACCCTAATACCAAACCCAAAGATACCACAAGAGAAGAAAACTACAGACCAATATCACTTATGAATATAGATGCAAAAGTCCTCAAAAAAGTGCTAGGAAACTGAATCCAACGGCACATTTAAAGGATGATAAACCATGACCAAGTGAGATTTATCCCAGAATGCGAGAGTGGTTCAACATAGGAAAATCAATCAATGTAATACACCACATTAATAGAGCAAAGGAAATAAACCACATGATCACATCAAGAGAGAGAGAAAGCATTTGATAAAATTTCACATTCTTTCAAGATAAAAACACTAGGCAAGCTAGGAATAGAAGGGAACTTCCTTAACATGATAAGTGGTATTTATGAAAAACTCACAGCTAACATCATATTCAATGGTGAAAGACTGCAAGCTTTCCCCCTAAAATCAGGAACAAAGCAAGGATTCCTGTTTTCGCCACTGCTATTAAACATTGTACTGAAAGTCCTCGCCTGGCAATTAGGTGAGAAAATAAATAAAAAGCATCCAAAATTGGAAAGGAAGAAGTAAAACTATCTTTATTTAAATATGACATGATTCTATAATATAGAAAATCCCAAAGAATCCACAAAACAACTACTAGAGCTAATAAGTGAATCAGCATATTTGCAGGGTACAAGATCAACACAAAAAAATCAGTTGTGTTTCCATATAGCAGCAATGAACAATCCAAAAAGGAAATTAAGAAAGCAATTCCATTTGTAATAGCATCCAAAGGACAAAATGCTTTGGAATAAATTTAACCAAGTAGGAGAAAGACTTGTATAAGAAAAAACTATATAAAAAAAATTTTCTTGCTTGCTCAAAGAAATTAAAGATCCAAAAATGGAAAGGTATCCCATGTTCATGGATTGGAAAACTAATATTGTTAAGATGGTAATATTCCCTAAAGTGATCTACAGATTCAGTGTAATCCCTAGCAACACTCCAATGGTCTTTTTTGCAGAAATGGAAAAGCCAATCCTCAAATTCATATGGACTTCAAGGGGCCTCAAATACTCAAAATAATATTCAAAAAGAAAAACAAAGTTGGAGGACTCACATTTCCCAATTTCAAAACTTACTATAAACCATAACAATCAAATTACATATATCCTGGCATAAGGATACACATATAGAACAATGGAATAGAACTGAGAGTCCTGAAATAAACATCTGCGGCCAATTGATTTTCAACAAAAATGCCACGACCATTCAATGGGAAAAAGAATAATAGTCTCTCTAACAAATGGTGCCAGGAAAACTGGACATCCCCATGCAAGAGAATGAAGCTCGACCCCCTACTTCACTCCAAATACAAAAACTAACTCAAAATAGATGAATGACTTAAATATAGGAATTAAAACTATACAACTATTAGAAGAAAACATAGGAGTAAATCTACATGACCTTGAATTTGTCAATGGATTCTTAGATTTGACACCAAAAGCATGAACAATAAAAGAAAAAATAAATAAATTGGACTTCATAAAAATTAATGACCTTGGTGGATCAAAGGACATTGTCAAGAAAGTGAAAAGACAACTCACAGAATAGGAGAAAATATTTGAAAATCATGAGTCTGATAAGGATTTCGTATCTAGAATATATAAAGAACTCTTTTGATGCAACAATAAAAAGACAAAGGATTCAATTTAAAAATGAACAAAAGATATGAATAGACATTTCTCCAAAAAAGATATACATGAAAAGGTATTCAACACCCATTAGTCATTTAAAAAATGCAAATAAAAACCACTGTGAGACCCCACTTCACACCCATTAGAATGGAAAAAAAAATAACAAGTACATGGAGAAATAGAAAGCCTCATACATTGCTGGTGGTAATTTAAAATAGTGCAGCTGCTATGGAGAACAGCTTGGTGCTAACTCAGAAAGTTAAACAGAATTACCATATGACCCAGCAACTCACACCCAGCTATATATCCAAGAGAAATGAAAACATATGTCCACATAAAAACTTGTACACAAATATTTACAGTGTCATTATTCATAATGGCCAAAAGATGGAAACAACCCAAATATCCATCAAGGGATGAACAGATAAACAAATTGCGATGAACGGATAAACAAATATTCCATACAGTGGAATATTATTCAGTCACAAAATGGAATGAAGTACTGATACATACAACAACTTGGATGAACCTCATAAACATATGCTAAGTGAAAGCAGCCAGACATAAGAGGTCACATATTGTGATTACTTTTATATGAAATATCCTGAAGAAAAGGATATTCAGGATAGCAAATCTATCGAGACAGAAAGCCAATCAGTGGTTTCCAGGGAATGAAGAGAGAAGGTAACGGGGAATGATTTCTTAATTGGTGGGAGGTGTTCTCCTGGGGTGATGAAAAAGTTTTGAAACTAGAAAGAGGTGGTGATTGCACAACATTGTGGATGCACTAAGTTGTACACCTTTAAATGGTTAATTATATGTTATATGAATTTCACCTTGCAGTATATGGTGAAATTATACCCTACCACAAACCAATCCCATTCCTGGCTAGACATTTTTAAAGGACACACACATGAATAAGGGCATATAGTAAAAACATTAGAGAGGGTTTCTATGATGAAGAGAGACAAGAAATGAAGATTAACAAATAAACTAAATAAAATAAAATAAAGAGAAAGTCTCGAACAGACCAATTAGGAAAAAAGCATGAACTAAGGAGGAAGATCAAAACAATTCCATTACCTAAGGTCCTGCCACCAGCCTCAACATTTTTATTATAATTATATTTTAAAAATCAAAAATTTAAAAATATTAAATATAAGAGAATCATTAAATAAATTACAGTATAGTCATATATATAGAATACAGTCATTGAAATGATATTGTGAGAAGTTTTTAACGACACAGGGTTAACTCTCAGCATACGATATTAGGGGAAAATGCCAACATTAGAAAAATTGAGATTATTTATACACCATACTATCTCAGTTACTTCAAAATATACTTCGTATAGAAAAAATAATCAAAGGACATATGGCAAAATGTTTGCAGTTGCTCTCTCTAGGTGATTATTATTTCTTTATATTTTAGCATTTTGCAAATTCTTCACAATTGTACATACTTCTTTTGTAATTTACAAAACAGTTTTAATAAAACAAATTCCTGTCCACAGGGTTGTTGTGAGGATTAATGAGATAATTCAAGTGAAAGCATTTTAGTCAGTATTTTTCCCATATTTAGCACTCCATAAATATTAGTTATTGTTCTAATTGCTGTGATAATTAACCTCATTAATTAAAATAATTGCTTAAGAACTAATTAAGATCCATTGGTAGGGAGAGTTTAGACAGAGAAAAGGATAAAGAATGATGAACTGCTACAGGAATGATTTTGAAGTAGGATATTGCACATTAACTGAAAAAGAAAAATCCACATAACTGAGAACCTGACTTTCTAAGATTTTTGGAATATATTACCTACAATGAATCTTTAAATAAGATAATTGAAGTACACGCTGTTTACTGGAGTCTAACTTTATATTGAATAAATATATATCATAAAAAAGTAAGAGTTATTCTAGGATTTCAAGGACAATTTAACATTAGTCAATCTATTAACATAGCTTATTACATTAACCAATTAAAATATAAAAAATAGATGCTGAAAAATCATTTCATAAATTCTAGGAGTCAAAAACCAAAGTATAATAAGAATACAAGAAAATTTACAAAGTGTGATGAAGAATACCATAGACTAAGAGCAAACATCATATTAAATGCAGAAATATTAACTGTGTTCCAGATAAAGTAAGGAAAGAGATATTATAGTTAACACTGTCTTGGAGGGTTAATCAGTACAATAAAATAAGCATATAAGTTAGATAAATATTAGAAAAGAGACAAAATTATACTCATGTGAAGATGATTCAATTGATTACCTAAAAATATTAGAACTTACCAGTCCATTAAGTAAGGTGACTAAATACAAAATAAATATACAATTCAATAGTTTTATTTTACACTATAATTACCAATTTGAGATTCAAATGAAAAAGAAAACCCCACTTACTAGAATGATTTCTAACTACAAAATCCTAGCAATAAGTTTAACAAGTAAAGAACATACTTATGTAAAATGTTACTGAAGTATAAAATAAGATCTGAACAAATAGAGAAACATTTTATTTAGTAGAACATTTACCTGTGAAAGAGATTCCCTTTTTCCAACTGGTAAGAAATCTTCAGCAGGTAATAGTATTAATGTTCTTTCTAAAATTCTTCTAACTGTTGTCTTTCCTCCACCTGTTGGGCCCACTAACATCACACCAACATAAGCCTAAAACAAAATTGCAGATTTATGGTTTAATTCTGGTTTACTGATGGTTTAGCTAAGTTGAAACTTGAAGTTCTTATTTACAAATAAATCTCTAACTATATCCACTTCAAATTTGAAGAACCCTTCCTTCAAATTATTGTCAATCTATTGTAATCTGGTTTCTGTTTTTATTGACTAGGCTAATGTTAAAATCACTAGAAATCGCCTAATTTTAAAATTCAAAGAATAATTTTCAAGTCTTGATATCTAACAGTTTATCTCACTTTCCAATTCTTGTTTATTCCTGTACCTTTCTCTACAATTGGCTTTTGTAACACGTATCTGGGCTTTCCTCTTTTCTATTTTTTCTGCTTTTGAGTTCTGATTGTCCTTTTCATGCTAGTCTTTCCTAATTCATCCTTGTCTCTCTCTCTCTCTCTTCTTAATTATCCCTATCCAATGTCATCAATTTGAATATCTTTAACTATGACCTGAATTCTAATGACTCCCTAATGTATACATTTTTCCAAGTCTTTGGTTCTAAGTGCCTGAATGAATTTCAATGGTCTACTAAATATTTCCATCTGGATGTCTCACATGATTTTCAAAGTCAACGTAATCTAATCCATACCTTCTTTTCAAACTTGTTGCTTTTCTTATTTCCCTAATCTAGTTAATAAAACCACTATGTACCAATTGTCCAAATTAGAATACTTGCCTTTTTCATCTCCTCATCTCTTACAAAACTTTTGCTTGATTCCGTCTTCTCTCCATCCCAATCACAACGGACTGAAAGTTTGCATCCCCCTAAAATTCAAATGTTGAAGCCCTAACACCCAATGTGATGGTATTGGAGGTGGGGTCTTTGGTAGGTAATTAGGGTTAGATGAGGTCATGAGGGTGGGGCCCCATCATGGGATTAGCATCCTTATAAGTAGAGAAAGAGAGACTAGAGCTCGCTATCTCTCCATTATGTGAGGACACAATGAGAAGGTGACCGTCTGCAAGAAGAGGGCTCTCACCACGAACCACATCTGCCAGCACTTTGATCTTGGACTTCCCAGCCTCCAGAACTGTCAGAAGTAGATGTCTGTTTTTAAGCCACCCAGTCTGTGGTATTTTGTTATAGTGGCCCAAACAGACTAAGACAAGGGGGTAAAGGGTCAGATGATCAAGCTCTTAAAAACTGTCAGAATGGGCCCTCACCATCTCTTCTGGATGACTGTAATAGCATTAAAGAAATTATTATTTTTAGTAATGTATCACATAAGTACATTAAAATTCAAATATGGCTAAAGCTAAAATATCTTGTCACTTCCATTCCAATCTCTGTACCCTGATGGAGGCCTTCTGGTTCTCTGGTCTGATAGTTCCATTCCATAACTGGCAAGGCAAGAAGGGTCCAAAAAGCCTTGCTTGTCAAATGGAAATTGCATATATACAATGTTATAAACCAATGTTACTGCAATAAACAAAAAATTGAAAAAATAAATAAATACACTAAAAAAAAAAAAAAGAATGCAGCTAACCTGGCTCCAGTGGCCTCATGGCTTTACATGAAAGAGTGGCAGCTATCCCTCTGGGAGCAACTTTATCCCCACGTCACCTCCTAAAGCAAAGCTGCTGGCTCAGTGGAGCTCTTGATTTACAAAGATTCCCGTAAATGCCTTGGTCTGGTTTACTGAAGGTTAGGTTAAGCTGAAATGTGAAGGCTCTTGCTGTTGAGCCTCAGAGCCAGCTATGAAGAACCAAGAGCAGACTTATTGATTCTGCTCACTGGGAAGAACTCTGACACTTGAGCTTTGGCAATGGCCTAGCTATTTGGTCTGCCACCTCGAAAACTACACACTAGAAGATAAAGATAACCCTCTTTGGGGCTTCGAACTGTGGAAACAAATGGTCGCTACTGATCAAACTATCTGAGTCACTCATGGGCCCACGGTAAGGACCCATTCTTTGATGAGATTACCAAGAATCAAGCTGCTGATGGAGGCTGTCCTTCCCAGATTGCTATGATTGCTGTGTGGATACAAGACCGTACTGGACGGAGCAACGCGTTCGCCATCATGGACCGCACAAAGTAAAGGACTGTGTGTTTCTGCTGTAGGGGCTACCACTGCATTCTAGACTTATCACTCCTGCCAAAAGTTGAGATAGTTGTCTCACAGTGGGGAAGCCACATTGCACAGGTCATAAATGACCCCCATATACTCTTGGCAAGATGCCGCATCAGATCTCTGATCTCTTCTCTTGGGGCTATCAGTGGTGCCTCACTGATATTGACACTATTTCAAGTTACGGGGTGGCTCTTCCAGTCCAATCAGCTAACTCCAGGCACATCATTATGTCTCTTGAAACTAATTTGCGTCATGTGCTTGGATTTCTGGACCATTTGCAGTCTGACAATGTTGTACCTTTTATTGCAAAAGTCACTCAACAATGAGCTGATGGGTCAACGTATTTTATGGACCTGCCACACTCCCTACCATCCATAGGCATCTGGTATTATTGAGCATTCAAACAGCCTTCTCAAAAATTGACTCAAAAAGATTTCTGAGTCTATCTCCCATTCTTCTCTGTGTCCTCATACTTACCAAGGAAGTTTGGTCATTGAATGTAGGTGTCCCCAAAAAGGGACCATTTCCTTTCATTTGCTTCCTGGGTAATTATCAGCATGAAAGAGATAAGGGATTATATAGACCTACTTTGAAAATTTAGGATTTAGTCCTGACCATTGCGGGGCATGGTGCTTCTTTCTTTCCCCTAATGACAACTCCAGGCCACCTCGATTGGCACACATTCCAAAATGGGTCCTAGGGGATTCAAATTTAATTCTGATTCAACTACCTGGATTCTCTTGGATTGACACAGTCTTAGGTCATAAGGATAACAACTACTTGACTGAGTACACTGCCTGTTGAATCCTTTTACAGTGGCCCATGCAGGCTAAAGCAGGGGACATAATGGTTCTCGCTAAGTTTTATAAAAATGCCCCTGTCTCTCTTGCATCTAGCCCTTCAGGATGAAAGGTATGGGTGGGAGTAGGGGATGTTTGGAAAATAATTACAGTTAAAATTACTGAAATGGGACATACCAATTTTGTGGCAGTATAAGAACAGCAAAAACCCAGACACCCGGGGAGGAAACACCTCAGACCATGGAATATGGGGGAAGGGAGGGATATGGAAGATCTTTTGTCTTTCAGAATTCTCTCTCTAACCTTCAAAGAAAATGCCCCGATGTGGCTATCCCAAACAACTGCAGGAGCCTTTAACATAACTGACTGCTGGGACTGCCAGCCCCTACCAGATGGGACTGACCATGATTTAATTCTCATTCTCCTTAACCTTACTGAGAAGTCTATCAGGAACAGTAGGGGTGGCCTCAGCTCCTGCACATCCCAGGCAAAACACTTGTCAACACCTCAAGAAGTCTTGGATATCTTTCCTAGCCCTATCTCCATTGCTCAGTCATTCCATGGGGAGACAAATACCATCTGCCTTATACTTTGGCAAACGGGTCAGATTGGACCGATTGTCCTCAAGTGGTCACTCCAAAAAACACTGGACTTAATTATTAGAACTGAACCGAGAACCCATGTTGGAGGCACCGTCAACCTGTGTCTTCCCGTCCCCTTGAACTGACGTAGGCCCCATTTAGGGAACCCAGCAACTATAAAAAACACTTTCTTTCCAAGGGTATCATGTGCACCCTTAGGATTGTACTTCTTATGCAAATGCCAGGCATTAACTTGCCTCCCTTCCCAAAACAATGCACTTAACACCTTAGAGGTGGTTTTAAGAGTGTTAAAAATCCAGTGTTTAAGGATACATCACCTTGTCTCTGGAAGGCTTTCAAATCAGTCTCAACTCACTGGCCAGGGTAGTTATGGATGATAAAATTACACTAGACACTTCCTCCTTGTGGGCCAAGACAAAGTCTGTGCAATTGATATTAATCTTGCTGTACCTGGATTAATGCTTCCAAGAGCAATAGTCAATTCAGAAACTTAAGAAGAAATCTACCTGGCTTTCCAAGGTAGGTTCTGATGGCTTATGGAATTTGCTTAACTGTTTGGGCCTGAGACCTTGGATGGGCATGGTTGAGATCAATACTTTAGGTTTGCCTCATCCTACTGTTTATAGTCCTGTTGACAGAATCCTTAATTAAATGCTGTATGAGATAAAATGGATGGATTTGCTACCAGCACCTTTCAGTCAGATTAATCAGAGTGGTCAACAGAGTGGCATACTCATGGGAAAATTCACCAGAGGCCAAGACGGTGTATAAACGAGGGGTAGATATTATTGGGAGACAATTCTTTATAGGTCTCTGACATTTCTCCATGCCTCTGAGCAGATGCATTGAAAGCTTTATTTAGAACTATTTTTTCAAGAATGTTTATATAGCAAACAGTTTTGGAAGACAGAGATACTATCTCCTATCACGATGGAGGACAGATTTATTTGCTGTCCAGAATAAAAAAGATAATGTCTCCATGAACAAAGGCTGAGAATATTTCCTAGTAATCCCCTTTTAAGATTGAATGGTTCCTAAGCTTGGTGTTCTTCTCCTGTAAAACAACTTACCATGTGTGCAGGAGTCACCTGACCCTGCGTCTCCCGATGGGAATTAAGTTTTGGGGAAACGGCTACTGCTATTGCTGTGAGTAATAAACTGTCCTTCCTGACCCAGGAGTCTAATGTTTTCTGCCACTGTGAAACTGTGGCAGGCTAACCTGTTAGCTTAGAAGCAGGGTAAAATCTCGACAAATATATGTACGGAGGAAAAGATGTAATATCGTAAAATGAAAATTCTCACTATAATTAGTAATTCAATTCTATTTCAATCAAAATCCAAACAGTATTTCTTTAGTGGAAGTCAACAGGCTGATTATCCAAGAATTTTGAAAATAACAAAGATGGAAGATGATGAGGCTCAGGACACACTATCTCAAAATATGGCTCCTTGGCATAGTATATATATTAAGCTAAAGGAATTTTTTAAAATGGCAGAAGCAGGAAGGTCACTCTGACCTCCCAACTGCACTTTTCTTCCCTGAAACAGGTCATAAAACTCCCATGTGAAAGGCACTCTCCCAGTACCAGAAGGAAAGAAGACATTCTTATCACCAGAGACAGGGAATTTGGGGCTGAGAAGGCTGTATAAACAAAACCTTGTTAAACTAACCTTTATCTTTCTAGTTACTTCTTCACCATTTACTACCCCTAGCCCAAACTCCTTTGTTTTGTCAACTCTTTACAAATCTATTGTTTCTTTATCTAAAAGATTTAAAAGCTTCTTGTTCTGGTCACTTCTTTGGGTCATCATTCTCATGTGAAGGCTCCCATGTACATGTACAAACTCAATAAAATGTGTATGGCTTTTCTCCTGTTAATCTGTCTTTGTCAGTTTAATTTTCAGACCCAGCCAAGGACCCTAAGAAGGTCAAGGATAACTCTTTCTTCCCTTACAACTGGTATCGACAGACATGAAGACTTATTATAAAGCCATGGTGATTAAGACTGTGTGGTGTTGCCATACAGATAGGGAAATAGATCAAAAGAATAAAATATAGGGGCCGGCCCAGTGGCACAAGCAGTTAAGTGTGCACGCTTGCTGCGGTGGCCCGGGGTTCGCCGGTTCAGATCCCGGGCGCGCACCGACGCTGCTGGTCAAGCCATGTAGTGGCAGCGTCCCATATAAAAGTGAAGGAAGATGGGCATGGATGTTAGCCCAGGGCCAGTCTTCCTCAGCAAAAAGAGGAGGATTGGTAGATGTTAGCTGAGGGTCGATCTTCCTCACACACACACACAAAAAAGAATAAAATATATAGAAGAAATTAATAAAGAAATCCCTGCTATCAGATATGGAAATGTGGTATATGACAGAAATAGCAAATCAGTGAGGAAAATTCTTGGGAAAATTGATTATCCATATGGGTAAAAATAGATCCCTACTTGATACTTTGAAGAAAAATAAATTCCAGACAACTTAAAAATGGGAAATGAACTATCTAAAACTTTTAGAAAAAATTATAGAAATATCTTTATGAGATAGGATAGAAAAAATTTCTAAAAATAGGACACAAAAATACCAACCATAAAAGAAAGACTGATAGATTTTACTGCATTAACAATGTCTCCTGCACAACTGAACACCATGAATGTTTCTAAAAACCTAATACTTAGAGAATTTATTTGCAATGCATATAAACAATAAGGAAATTATGATATAAAAATGCATAATGAAAAGCCTAAATGTTTACTAAGAAAAAGACAAACAACCAAATTGAAAAATGAGTACATTAGATAATCTGGCAATTCACAGAAAATTCAAATGGCTAATAAATAAACATATAAAAGGATGTACAATTTTACTAGTAATCAGAGAAATGCCAAGTCTGATGCTTTTCCAAATGGTTCATTCACGGAGAACAGAAATTCAAAGAAGGTATAGCAATGGAATGCAGAACATTTTGCACCATATTTGTAGGATGTTTTACAATTATGTACTAAGGGGATGAAGGTGAAAAAAATTACAGACAGTCCCTGACTTGACAATGGTTCAACTTACGATTTTTTGACTACGATGGTGCAAAAGCAGTAGGCCTTCAGTAGAAACGGTACTTTGAATTCTGAATTTTGATCTTTTCCTGGATTAGTGATACATGGTACAATACTCTCTCATGATGCTGCCACAGCTCCCAGACAGCCACGTGATCATGAGGGTGAACAACTGATACACTTACAACCATTCTGTACCCAGACAACCATTCTGTTTTTCACTTTCAGTACAGGATTCAATAAATTACATGAGATATTCAACACTTTATTACCAAATAGGCTTTGTGTTAGATGATTTTGCCCAACTGTAGGCTAATGTAAGTGTTCTGAACACGTTTAAGGTAGGCTAGGCTGAGCTATGATGTTCGGGAGGTTAGGTGTATTAAATGTATTTTTGAGTTATGATGGGTTTATCAGGATGTAACTCCATCATAAGTCAAAGAAGATGTGTAATTTGGTGAGAGGTAAAGTGAGGGGTCAAATAACAAAATTTAGGTAAATAGTTAATCAATAAGCCACTTCACTTAGAAAAACATTATAATAGCTCTCTTTTATTATTATTATGTTTTTCTCATTGATCATACCTACTAAACCACAGGAGCACACAATTGCTAATATGCCATTCTACACTTACCTGCAGTTGGTTATGAAACTGTATGATTTTCTCTTTCTGAGCTGGCCATTGTTGTAAGCCCAGTTGTTGTGCTGCAGTAGATATTACTTTCTAAAAAAAAAAAAATTAATTTAAAATACGTTGCAAATTAAACTCTTAATATGTAATCCTACAAAATCTCTCTTAACTAGGTACCAAATACTGCACTTTGAGATAGTAGTTCTCAATTTTTTCCCCAACCTAAGAATAACGAAAATTATTACTTTCCTCCTCAAAATACAATACATACAAAATTTTATGTTCACAGACCCCCAGTAGGAAGTTCATAGACCCTCCTGCAATTTAAGAACTCATGCTTTAAGATGTATTTAAGAACTAGCTGTTACCATAGACAATTGTCTAATTATCTCACACTAAAAGAATAAAAGATTCTGTATCAATGTGTAATTCTAATCACCATTAAAGTAGGTTTTCAATTTTGTAGTGATTATTTTAGTGTTTCAGTGTTAAACAGTATTCGAAGATAGCAAGTAAAATTTACAAAACTGAAGACTTGATGTGGTTATACATTAGAACATCCCAGGAAATGGCTGCAGCTTGGAAAGACACCTAATACTTTAACACAGGAATTATAAGGGCAGTCATGCTTCCTTCTAAAGTGGGGTTTATTTCATTGTGGATACAATTAGTAACTAGGTCTACAGAAAAAGTGGGATTTGTTGTTTTTCTCACCAAACTCTCCTACTCCCTTTCTTATTCCTAGTATTCCTATAACGAGACAGACAAAGAAACAGCTGAAGGAGGCAGAAAACTCAGCAGGACTGTACAAATGGAGAAAAAAGTAGCTCCTCAAGCAAGGCTAACTGGAGGTAGGAAATCAGCTGAGAGGATTTTTTGAAAAGCAACTTCTTTCAAATGGAGCTGATGAGACTGCCCACTTAAGGCCTGCACCTGGAGCAGTTTTAGGTGTAGAGGCGAGGAACTCTCTGCAGTTACTAATACAAGCCTAGACACCTTCCTGGATACAAGTGAGAAGTCACACAGGTGTGGAATAAGGACAGCATGGGATGCACAGAAGATCAGCAGAACCGGGATAATCAAAGAAGAGACATTCAGACATGTCATCCCGCCTGGCTAAGGGTTTTCACAAATTCCTTACCTTGGAAGGTTTTGAAATAAAATTGTAATCCTAGCGTAAAGTATTTATAACTTTTTATGATGTTCTGTGGAGTCAACTGGATGATAAACTATACGTAGTTCTTACTCCATGATGTGGTTCCATTACTTCTCAGCTAATCCTTTGGTTTCTCTGAGTTAATGACCCTCATACAAATTGAATATTGTTAGAGACAGAAATTTAAATAAGTTGGATAGATTCCAATTGCCTATTGCATGCAATTCAGATGCTTGTATCTCAGATGAACAAGAAGTATAAACAGCACATCTACAGAACATTTTCTTCAATAACATATATTCCCACGTGGGAATATCAGACACGACGGGTCACTGTGTAAGCCACCAAAATACACCATGAAATAAAAGACTGGATTACTCCAAATTTAATATTAAAATCATAACTTTAAATTATGATCTTTAATGTCGTTTCTATGGCCATATACTACAATTTGGGAACATTTTTTAAAACATTTGACAGCTTGCATATTTACTGATGTGAAAATTATACAAAGGGGGAAGTAGCTGAATAAACTGATCTGCTTGTATGGAAAACTTTACTATAAGCTCAGACTGGTATAAACTGACTTGTAAAACTGATGGAAAGATATATATATAAAGAAGTTCAAAGATAAAACCATTAATGTGTACATCTAAACGCTATTAGAATGGCAATGCTATTTGTTTTAGCTGTTACTTGAAAAATGTTCAAGGTAACACTGGAGGCAGTTAAAACTTACAATTGGAGAAAGGAGAGCAGGGGATGTGTAGAATCTGCCTGGGAGGGATAAAAGGATGCTCACATAAGACAGAGAAAGCAAACTTGTCAACTGACAATCTATTTGGTTTTTTTTCTAGCAAAGTGAAAATACTCAAAATGTAAATGTAAATCTTCAAAAGGTATGCAATAGCTTTGATGCAAATATTCACTGTATTTCTCCTGGAAACCACACAGAGCAAAAAGGAAAAAAATATCAAATTGCATTTTCATTAAAAATAAGGAAACAAACAAAATATGCAAAATCTAAAACCGATGTAAGTGCTCTGAAAATAGCTAAGCTTATGTAGCTTCAAGTTTGGACTTACAACTTGTTGGTCTAGAAAAGTCCAACTCATTTAATCATGTGAAACAAAGGATCTCACAGTATAAGTCTCTTTCCTGTCAGTTTAGAGAACTAGAAATAAAAGATTACATATTGAAAGGGCAAACAGAATACCAAAATTCATAACTGGAGAATTTATAGTGAGATTAAGAATATCAAAGACCAAGTAAAAATTTTAAAAGCTTCCGGAGAGAAAGAACAGATATACTACAAAGCAACAAATATCAAAGTGACACTGACCTTCTCAAGAGTGACTCTGGAGCAAGAGGAAAATGGAATAATATTTTTAATGTATTAAATATTTTAATGTATTAAATGAAAAGAACTTCAAACTTAGAATTTTATATCCAGCCAAACTGTCATTCAAATATGAAAACATACCAAAAATGGTCTCAGGTATTAAAGTTCTCAAAAGGTTTGCCCCACAAAAATGTACTCTGAAAACACTGTTGGGAGAAGTACTCAAAAAGAGGAATAAATTGAAGAGAAGTCTGCAAGAGACAGGAAGAGAAAGTTTGATAAAATACTTTGTTAATTTACAATGTTCTAAAGGCTCATGTGTGTGTGTGTGTGCATGCGTTTGTGTGTGTGAGTGTGAGTGTGTGTGCTAAAAAGCTAGGAAAAGAAAAAGGAAAAAATATTCCCATAACAACCAGGAACTAAAATTCTACATGACATCAAGAATAGGAGTGAAAGTACGGGGAAGACCAATGATGACCTAAGGGTATGCTAAAGTAGTTGTCTTGAAAGGGAAAAGATATAGATATTGAAAAATTCAATAAATAAATAGGAACTAATAATGATGAATGTCAGTCTTCAGTTAAGGGAAGCACCATACGGAATAAACACAAAATAAACACAGAAGAAAAGTCAATCTATTCCACAAAGAGCAGGAAAAGAGAAAACAGTGAAGCAAAAAGAAATTAAATAAATAATATAACAGAAATGCATTTTAAGATAACAGAATCCATAACGAATATAAAAAGTTAAAATCAATAAATACAGGGCAGATAAAAACAGATTGTATGACACGAAAACAAAGTCTATCAATATATCTCCTACAAGACTTATAGTTCAAACAGAGAGACATAGAAAGTTTGAAAAATAAAAGAAATTCTGAGGATATGAATCTCACACTAAAAATGTTGGATAACAATCTTGATATCTGACTAAATAGATCTTAAGGCAAGACATACCATATGGGCCAAAGAGGAATATAGTATAGGGGTAAAAGAATAAGGAGATATAAACATATTTATACAACTTATAATATAACTTCAAATTATATAAAGCAACAATTGACAGTAGTGCAGGGAAAATAGACATGTCAACAACTGTAGTTAAGATCTTAATAACACCCTTTTCAAAAACTAAAGGATAAATAAAAAATAAACAGACACATCAAAGCTCTGAAAAATTAATAGCCTATGTGTATAACTTTACACCCAACAAGCACAGAATACATATTATTTTAGAGCACACAAGAAGCACTTACAAAAAAAGCCCATTCATTAGGTGATGTAGGAAACTTCAATCAAGGTTCTCTCAAAAGGATAAATATATAAATTATAGCATATAGTCTCCAATCAAAACTAACTATGGGGCCGCCTGGTGGCGCAGTGGTTAAGTGCACGCGCTCCACTGTGGCGGCCCAGGGTTCGCAGGTTCGGATCCTGGGCGCGCACTGACGCACTGCTTGTTAAGCCATGCTGTGGAGGCATCCCATATAAAGTAGAAATCCTCTACTTTATGAATTCCACTTTGTTTGTTAAAACTGTTACTCTAATATGTGCTTGCCTTCTATACTTTTGGACATTCTTTTATTTTCAAACTTTAAGAATTCCACAAAGTGGAATTCAAGCCAAAAAATAGTAGACAATAAAAACAAGGACACTATATGTTAAAGGGTACAATTCATAATAATAATTTATTATTGATATTTATGTACCAAACATAGCAACAATTATTAGAAAACAGAAATTGTAAGAGTAGACATAAATGTACAAATAGGAGACATTAATCCACTTCTCTCAGTCCAAGGTAAATCAAGTTAACTAGTATAAGCATGGGTATAAGAGACCTAAATAACATAATCAATAAGACAGATAAAATGGTGGTAAGACTTTAGCTAGGCTACTCCATGGTATTGCTGCCTTGGCATCCATTTTGTTTGGCCAAGCAGCCTGTGGGGTCCTTAAACTGACACTAGCCCGTCATGCAAGCGCATGCCCTAGACAGCAGCCCACAGAGTCACAAGCAAATGTGAGTTCCCGATCTGACTTCCCCGACAGCCCTTGTGATCAACTGTCTCCCCTGCCTCCCAGGGCCTTCCCCTTCGGGGCCACTTAGATAAGACCCCCTCGGAACTTACCAAAACCCTACTCTTTTTGGTTTGAATTGACCAACCTGGCCTTAGCCTGGGAGCCCCAAAGCACTCCATTTACATGCCCTAATAAAGGCACGTGCCCCGGCTCCTGCCCCTCTCTCTGCCTGCACCTTGCCTTGACTTCCCCGTGTGGCTCCTGGAGGCATGTGCAGTGTACTTCCTCCAGGACCTATGAGTAATAAACTTCTCTGTTTTATTTTCTCTTCTGGTCTTTTGTTGTTGAACTGTGGCTCACCATCCGGCACTTTGTGCTCCACTTAACAAATGTTAATTTAACCAAGTCTTAACAAATGGAGATAAATTGAACTCCATATCTTGTACTTGCAGTTGATAAGAGTTATACCTTCTTTTCACGTGTATGTGGAATATTTATAAAAATTACCTATATATTAAGTCATAAAAAATTGAAATTAAATTCCTAAGGATAAATAATAAAGAAAATATTCTCTGATCATAATGCAATAAGACTAGAAATTAATAACAAACACAAAAAATAAAAAGGTCCCTTACCTGGAAATTAAAAACAGGAAAAACCTCTGTCTTAGAAGAATACTTAGGAAAAAAAGGAAGTACTAACCATAGAATTTCTGGAAAACAATGATTACAAAAAACCTACATATCTGAACTTACAGCATAGGCAACTAAAGCAGTGCTTAGAGGAAGTTTTATAACTTATCAAGTTATAATTTTTATAAACTTATATTAATAAAAAGAAAGAAAGAAACCAAATGAATTAGACATCTTACTCGAAAAGCCAAAGAATAACAATACAAAACCCAGAGGAATAAAGATATTAAAAAATATTAATATCGATATTAAAGAGTTGGAAATAAAAAAAGATGCAGTAAATAAATAAAAGGCTAGTTCTTTGAGAAAAAAATAATAAATTAGATAAACTTCTAGGTAATCTAATTACTGAAGAAAACTCAAATTAAGAAAATAAAAAAAAGACTGGGAGAATAACCTCATAAACAGGAAATTGAAAGAATCATATGTAGTTTGTTCAAATCCATAGTAATACATTTTAAAACGTGAATGAAATGAGAATCCTGTCTAGTTTAACAAAATTGATCTTAGAAGAGATATAAACTCTAGATAGACTACAACCACGAAAGAGCTGCCTGTTATAAAACTCCTGGTCCAGATGGTTTTCGAGGGAAATTCTTCCAAACCTTCCTACATCACCTAATGAATGGTCTTTTTTTGGTAACTGCTTCATGTGTGCTCAAAAATACTATGTATTCTGTGCTTGTTGGGTATAAACTTACATACATAGCCTATTAATTGTATTTAAAGAACAGATAATTATGAAGCTGTTTAAACTATGTTTTCTAAAATAAATAAAAAATAATATTTTAAAAATTGGGTAGGGTCTCAGGGAAAGGAATCAATAGGTTTAATGGCCTGACACCTGATCAAGGCCTAGGAAAAGCCAGAAAACAGGGAGAAATTCAGGGTGGAAAGAATATGAGGGAGAGGAAAGGATGGAGGGAGGAAAAAGGATAGGATATGTTGGAAAGATAACCTGGTCTGGCCAGATTGTGAAAGGCATTATATGCCAAGATAACTAATTTGGATCTTGTAGTATGGGCAACATGGATCCAACAGTGGCTTTGGTGATGTGATCAAACGAGTTTTAGGAAAGCAACGCTGGTGGCCGGATGGCAACATACTAGAATGCAGGGAGTGGCAGGAGGCTATAAATAGTAACAGGAGATACTGAGATCCCATCTAGACTAAGGCAACGACTGTAAAGTTGTATATATAAGAGAAAAAATAAAGGGCTCTACAATTATAATATGCAATTTGAATACCACAAAATATTTACAATTTGAAGTCTTTTTTCATAACTCTGAGCTAATTGGATTCTCAAAGCACTCCTTTAAAATTGGAAGAGCCGACATTATCATTCCCATTTGAAAGATGAGAAAATTGAGAAACGAAATATGTAATAGCCTTCCTTGCTTCAAGGTACACAGTTCTTTCTTCTTTCCATTAGGCCATGATGCACTGAAAGCTCTTTTTCTTCCCCCAAGGGAAAAATATATCTTCAGGAATTTTTATCCCCCAAATTATAATATGAACAGAGTATTTCAGGGAGAACTGTAATATTTTAAATCCACATCTAGTTTCTTATCTTAACTGCTGTTGTACATCTAAATCATTTGTGACGATTTGCAAAGGTCTTATTACCTCCAAGGCAACTTGATTTACTTTTGAAACTGTTGCTCCAGGAAAAATATCTCCTATGATCTTTTCAAAAAGTGTGACATCTTCAGGAAGAAACTTCGATAAACTAACTTCTCTCACAGCCTCAATAATGATCAGAGTTTCATCTGTTTCAGAAAGATTGTCACTGGTGTTACTTTATGGGTAGAAGAAAACAAACATAAAGAACAAGTTAGCAAGTATGCTTTGCTGACATTAAAGACCGTTAATATTCTTTTTTTTCAAGGTGGCTATCCCAATATCCTTTCCTCCTCTCCCTGACTGCACAGCAGCTATGTGGTTTGGGTGAGGTTAATCTGGTCCCCAGCTCCAGGAATGGGCCCTGACTGGTCTAGAACAATCAGGGTGATGCCATTCTCCAGTCACTCACTCAGGGATGGGCACTGTATCAGCAAGGTTTTTTAGTTGCAAACAGCAGAAATGAATTCAGGCTAATATAAAATGAAAAATAACATAATGCTTTATTTAAAATTTCTAGGAGGGCCAGAGAACTAGGCTTGCAGACTACGCAGCTGGAAACAATGGCCAAAAGTATGCTACAGAAGTGGTCCTGTGAAAACATGACTGCCACCATCAGTAGGTCCAGAGAGCAGTGCCTGTTGCACCAATATCACTGATGCTGGCACTAGAACTGCTGGCTGCCCCTGCGATTTCTGGTTACTGGCTGTAGCTACTGCCGCTGCTGTCACTCTCGCCAGAATGGACTCTGTGTATATCCTATTTCCTTTTTCACCGGCTTCAGGTTCAGATTCTAGGGTAGTTGTCTACGATTTGCCAAGGTTGTACGTCCAAGCCATAGTTACAAGAGAGCTTTGGAAAGCAAGCATGTGGCATGACAAATATTCATTAAAGGAATATAACCCAGCTCTAGTCAATCACTGCCTGGCAGTCACTTAGACTCAGTGGTCAGTGGTAGACAAATGACCTGCCCATTCAGAAGGGTTTGGAACTTCAGTTCAATGGTGTGGATAGCTCCAGTTTTCATTAGAAGCCATCTTGCCACCCAAAAGGAAGCCAGCCTAAAGATGATAAGCCAGTACATGGAGGACTGCAGAGATGAGAACATCTCAGAAAAATAAAACTGAAACCCTAATCAAAGTAATCATACCCCACCTACCTCTGGATCTTCTGACTGGGTGAAACAGTAAATTCTCTCTACTGTTTAAGCAAACTTAAGTTTTCCATTAACTGTAACAAAAGCCTCCTGACATAGTGTTATCACATAATATATTTATTTCCCCAGAGTAACAATATTTCATATATTAAACACTTCAGTATATATTTTTATAGATTAAAAATGTAATCAAAAGGATAAAAAAGTAACTATATGTGGTATGATATGATTTTAGTGATGGAAAGAAAGATGAGTTTTCCCTGCAGAAGTGTCCCTCCCATCCTCTTGTCTACTGATGTCTGAAATTCTTCATCAGGATGGTGATGATTTTTAAGTCTTTGGTCCATAATAAAAACAGCTAATAGCTAACATTTATTGAGTACTTTTTACTAGGCACTTTGCTTAATTCTTTAAGTTATTTCATTAATCTTTTCAACAACCTTAGAAGTAGGAAGAGTGATACTCAGAAAAATTAAATAACAGGCCTGATGTCATACAGCTAGTAAGTGTCTGAACTGGGATTCAGTGAGGTCTCTCTGACTTCCAAGTCCATTCTTATAATCACTCCACTGTTACAACAAGAGCCCCATACTGAAGTGGTATTGATACCAGTCATTACATTTCCCTGTGAATACATCTTTGAGTCTTTCTTCTGAAGGTGATTTGGTAGACAGAGGGCAAGAGTCCACCTGAAGTCAAAGCGAGAGGGTCACACCAGAGGAGGAAAGGGTCCCAGACTTCACTGCTGTTCTAGGGTATATCTTTGACTTTTGTCACATTTTTTTCTCAAGACAGATCTTGTTTTATATTAAATGAAAATTAAAAAAAAAAAAGGGGTAACCAGTATGTCTGGTTGGGGTAGAGATAGGGAGAGATAATAGCTTATATAAAATACTACAATATTGTTACAATACCTTGTTATCATATATAAAGATAACACTTTGCTAAAATTCTACAAAAGAATAATTTGGGGGATGGCATCTGAGATTACCATGGGGTCTATCTGTTATAATTTAAGAATAAAAAATGAAAGCTCTAGACTAATGTCAACCAAAATTCAAGAAAAGGATAGCTAAATGTAACTTTTTTACCCATTATGATTGCTTCATGATACCAGTTCTTTGGAATTACTAGTTAAGATTTACTTTCTGGCCCAGTGCTGTGGTAAGTTTTATAAATGTTTCAAGTGTATACTTCAAGAGCTGTTAATTCTCAAGTTGTTGACAAAGAAAATTGCTCCTACCAAGTGGATCCTAGGACTCCAGATGTTGGACAGTTTATTTTCTAAACAAAAGGGAAGATTTGGAAAATTCCTTTAAGGGAAAAACAGAGACAGCCGCCTGTGGTAGGCAGAAAAAATGCCCCCCTTCAAAGATATATTCACTTCCTCATCCCTGGAAGCTGTGACTATTATCTGAAATGGCAAAAGAATAAGTATTACCCTGTATCGCAAAAGATGTAACCCAGTTAAAAATCTTCAGAGGAGTTTATCCTAGGTCATCCAGATCTAAATGCAGTCACATATTCCTAATAAGAGAGAGACAGAGAGATACAGCCATACAGAAGAGAAGGTGATGTGCAGATGAAGGCAGAGATTGGAGTGACGTGATGTTAAGCCAAGGAATGCTGGCACCCACCAGAAGCTGGAAGAGGAAAGGAATGGAAGCCCCCAAGAGTCTCTGGAGGGAGAATGGTCCTACCCACAACCTAGATTTCAGACTTCAGGCCTCAGGTACTCCGAGAAAATACATTTCTGTCGTTTTAAGACATCAAGTTTGTAGCAAATTGCTATGGCAGCCCTACAAAACTAATACACTGTCTTTTATCATTTTTTAAAAATGTAAACACCTTGACACTGTATTTGGGGGTTAGAGTTAGGCTCCGCCAACATGATCTAGAAAGAGAAGCCAGGAAAAAGGGAAGGTTGAATTACTATGCATAAAGAAATGAGAGAAATTTGTAGTATTCTTGCGTGCCTCAGAGACAAAATCAGAAGGCTTAGGAAGAATGGGGTGGAGTGGAGGGAGAGGAAGGGACAGAGAAGGAAAGAGGGAAGAGGCAAGAAGAATTATGATTGTTGGAGGCAGGAAGGGCCAAAAGCAGAATTGTCTAATATTAATTTGTAAATTGTTCACCGTGCTTCACTCCGATAAAAAAATTCCCCAATCCTCTTCATAATATAGTCAATTTTGTACAAGCACATCATTTATGTGGTGCTTTGGGGGAAATCAAAGAAGTGGGTTGTCACACTCGTGCGAGCACAGAGCAGAGAGAAGAGAGCTGCTCTCAGCGACAGGAGACAGACTGAGAGGACACTGGAAAAAGGAACTCCAATCCAGGGGGACTGTGAGAACTGTGAGTTTTCTGCAACTTGAAGAAAACTAACCAGGGACTTTGGAAGGAGAACAGTACCACTTTCTTCAAAATATTTATTCACACAAAGACCTAGGTGACTATAAGAAAGACTGGAGGACTTGAGGACATCAGGGAGCTGATGCTTGGAACTATTTATCTTTAATTTTTTAAAATTATAAAACATTCGTAACAGACATCTATTTACACAGGCCATTTTGCAATATATGCCTCAGTTCTTTTATTTTTATGAAATAAAATATTACAGTAGAGCTAAAGCCTTATCTGCTACTATTTTCCCCTCTCACGCAACATTCTGTACTTTGGACAACATACAGATTTATAATATTTACTATGTTTAAAAAATTCACATAAATGGTATATGAATATATCCTTTTGCAACATATTCATCACATTTTTTCATTTAATTTTTAATAGGTAATACACAAATATAGCCCAAATCAAACCAATACAAATAGGTATACCCCTTACCAATAATGAAAAAGAATGCCTGCTTCCCTATAGCCTCACCAACAGACAGTTCTATCTAACTTTCATATTTTTGCCCATCTGATAAGTGAGAAACAATATTTCAGTTTAATTTTGATGTGTATTTCTCTCATTATGAGGGGGTTTGAGTGTATTTTCATATATTTAAAGGACTTTTATGTTTCTTTTTCTGAGAACTGTCTGTTGATGTTCTTTGCCCATTTTTCTGTATGATTGTTTTTTCCCAAATTATCTAGGAAATCTTTATATGTCAAGAGGATGAGCTATTTATGACATGAGTTGCAAATATCTCTTTTCCTAGTTTGTCATTTGTCTTTTTACTTCACAGAAAGTATTTTTTGCCCATTATCTATCTTTGTTTTATTGCTTCTGGATTTTGAGTCTTAGTTTTAAATGTCTTCTGTAGTTCAAGGATATAAAGGATATTTTGTTTCTTCAAATACTTGCATGTTTTAAATTTCTTATATTTAAAATCTTAGATACTTTTTTGATCCTTTTAGAGTTTATCCTAGTAAATAATGTCAACCATGTTTCCAATGTGATCTTTATCCAGATGGCTGTTTAGTTTTCCCAACACCATTCATTAAAAAGTCTATTCTTGGGGCCGGCCCGGTGGCGCGAGCGGTTAAGTGCGCGCGCTACGCTGCAGCGGCCCGGGGTTCGCCGGTTTGGAACCCCGGGCGTGCACCGATGCACCGTTTGTCAAGCCATGCTGTGGCGGTGTCTCATATAAAGTAGAGGAAGATGGGCATGGATGTTAGCCCAGGGCCAGTCTTCCTCAGCAAAAAGAGGAGGATTGGCAGATGTTAGCTGAGGGCCAATCTTCCTCACACACACAAAAAAAGGTCTATTCTTGCCTCCTGATTTATGATATACTAAATGCCCAAGGCATACAGTTCTATTTCTGGACTTTCTATTCTGTTTCAATGGTTTGTCTTTCTACTCATGAGCCAGGACCACAATGTTTTAATTATTGAAAGTTTATAATACGTCTTAATACTTAAAGGGCTATTTCTCCTTCATTGCTCGTTTTTCAATATTTTTCTAGCTAGTCTTAATTGTTAGTCTTACACATGAACTTCAGGATCAGCTTGCCTAAAAACAAACAATACTTTTTGCTATTTTCCCTGGAATGCATTTCCATTCATAAATTAACATTTAGAGTATTTAAATCTTTATGATAAGTCCTTTAAGATGTTATGAAACTAAGTATGTGGAGTATTATTCATTTATTCATGTTTTCATTTGTGTCTTTCGTGTTTTCCTGTTTTCTTCATATGGGTCTTACACATTTCTCATGTAGGTATATTCATACGGGCTTTACATTTCTCATTAAGTTATTGCTCTTCTACATGGGGTCTTTTATTCTAGTATAGCTTTTATTATGTAAAGGTAAGGCACAGTTTTTTAAAGAATAGGCCCTTTTGGGGAAAGTTACCCAGGGATTTTGTGCATTTTTTTCTTCCTCTTCTTTAATATTTGTAATAATCTCTACCATACTATACTGCAACACTCTGGGAGCTTCCTATTTTATCTTGTCATCATTACTTAAAATTTTACAAATTATTTTCCCAGTGTTGTATAACTCCCTTTGACCTAACACAATTCAAAATTCAACTGACCTTTTAAACTCAAGTTTCTTCTTTCCAGCCATTGTTAAAATTGTCTTCAGAGACCTCAGGCCAAAATCATAATGATCCTATCGAACATTAAAATATTTGAGTTAGTGTTTCTGAAGAAAAAATGGAATAATTTGGAAATAAATGCATATAGTCTATAGTTAAGTCACTAACCACCTATGCTATGAAGAGAAACAGTGATGTGAATTCAAGAAACACTTAATTCTGCTTCTAATGCTCTCCCTTCTCTCCTAAACTGGTTTTCCTAACAGTCTCCTTCTTAAAAGAAAGATTAACAAATACAGTCATGGGTTACTTAATGACAGGGATACTTTCTGAGAAATGTGTCATTGCGTGATTTTGTTGTTTTGTGAACATCACAGAGTGAATGTATTTACACAAAACTAGATGGTATAGCCTACTACACACCTAGACGGTATGGTACTAACCTCATGGGACCATCGTCATATACGTGATATATGTGGTCCGTCATTGACTGAACGTTATGGGGTGCAAGACTGTATTAAAGGTGTTAAAAACTATCAATATCTCAATTAAATTTTCTCTGCGGAGAGATTAATTGAAAAATATTGTTAAGAGGAACACTTTGGGGCTAATGTGGTTAACTGTCCAAACCACTTTGGGTTATAAACAAATACTCATTAAGCTGGCATATCCTAGAACAGTAATTTTCAAAGTGTGGTACTCAGATCAGCAGCATCAGGAACACTTGAGAACTTGTTAGAAGTGCAAATTCCCAAGCCCCACTCCAGATAATTAGAAAGTTGGTGGTAAGGTCCAGCAATCTGTGTTTTAACAAGCCCTCCAAATTATTCTGGTGCACGATAAAGTTTGAGAACCACTGCTCTAGATGTTAACTTCCTTGTATGGAGAAAGTAGTCTATAATTTAAAACAACAGATACTTGATTACTCTCTCCAGATCTTGGAACCTTGACTGATTTTACATAGTGACTTACATCCAAGTTGGTGCAAGCACTTGATGTGCTGATAGGAATTCTAGCTCCATTATTTTCCCAGTCATTGCTGGACCAATACCAGAAAAGTTTTATTTAAAGTTTTACATAATTACCTTTATTTTGAGAAAAATAAGTTCATTACCTGTTGTGAGAGCTGTTTGCTAGCTAATTCGAAAAGGTTAACTAGCTTTCCAGAGAATGATTTTGCAGATTTGAAACCAACTGAAAACAGCGTTATTTCAGCAATCATCCGATAATGGGGAGAGATCATTGCCACTGGGCGAAATAGAGATTTTAAGTTATCTGGGAGTTCTACTTGATCCTTGTATCTTAGGAAGATAAGAAAAACAAAGACAAAAACCACTACTTTTCAGTTTTTCAAATGGGGAACCACATAGTATAATTTTCTCCCAAATAGTTCGATTGGCTTTCTACGTGACCCTTTTCTGAAAACAAGTTTACAAGACAGTTTATACTGTACTTTTCGTCTCAGAGAGGTTCCCAGTTTATGATCTTTTCTTCCTCTGACTCCTCCCACAATTCACCTCCCATCAGTTCCCTCTAACTCTCTGGACCATCACAACATTCCTTGAACAGGTGTTCATTGAGCCTGCCCAGCCTCCACTCTCTGTAACCACCATATTCTTATTTCTTCTGCTACTCTCATCAGCTTTTCTGCCTGTATCCTTTCTGCAACAAACTGCCAACGTTTTCTTTTCTCTCTGGCTATTTAAGAAGTGAAAACGTCCTTTGGTCAGGGCTTAATGTGAGATCATCCACACGGATAAGTGCAGAGTTGTAGCTGTTTATAAATGGTGTGGGTGGTGAAGGGGTTCAGAGGAGGTGGTGAAGGGTGAATGATAGGTATACAATGTCAGACAACTCCATGTTTGGATAAAATTTAAGAAAAAGATTTTGGCCTGTGTCCACTTCTACTGCAGATTACCTGATACTTACCCAGGATTCATGGTGGCAAACACCGCACAAGACATATTGATACGAACTTCTTTTCCTTCCAGTACAAACCTACAAGACATTACAGTACTCATCACTAAGAGAACTGTTTTCTCTAGGCCGAAGTATGTTAAAACTACAAGTGAGTGTGGAAATTTTCCTAAGGCTGTGATACATTTAGATCCAAACTGTATGCTGGGAAAAAACCATGGTAAGAGGGGAAAGAAGAGGCTCATCTTGAGCCAGAGTTGTGAGCCCTGCTGGGATTCAGATTTATTTGATCATGTCTGAAGGTGTCTGAAAAGTTCTGTGGGGCCTGAGGCTGGAAGGTAGCCATCTGAATGAACTGACTTACACAGGGAAAGGATCCTGAGCAGACCCTTGGGGCTTGGAGCTCTGCCTGGATGTCACAGTGGAACACACAATGGCCACAGCATCGAGTTCCTGCTTTAGCATGGAACATAGCCTGCCTCCACTCCCCAATTAAATAATTGTGGGAACGCTATGAAATAGAACCCTTGGCATGGACATTAGTGTCCTGTTGTCAGCACCAGCGGTGGGGACAACGGAGAGCAATCCTCTAGTGATTTCGTGGACAGCTGATACCAACGAGGGTGCTCAAAACAGGAAAGGAAGAACAATTGGGACAAAATCTGAGGACTTCCTGGACACAACCGAGGAAAACTCAGCATAGGCTGAGATATGGTGAAGAATTGGTGAAATGTGGGTCACTGTGACACCTACTTATATCCACTAACTTGTGAGACCTCAGAACATTGGCTCTAACAGTTTGAAAAAAATCCTTGAGAGTAAAGTCAGAAGTGAGTGTCCATTAGCTTGAGTTAGAAATATTAGATTGTAATAGAAATTTTAAACCCACAAATCCAATTATGCTCATAAAGTAAATCATGTGAGTCCCTGACTTTATCCAAAGAGAAAAAAAAATTTTTGCTTGGATTAATAAATATCAGTAATCCTAACATACAAATATTGTTATTACAGGATTTTTCAACTAAAGTATATTAATTCCAAGTAATGGGATAAGAGTGGGCTTCAGGTGTGTGGCCAGTATATATATATATATATATTTTTAACAAGAGATGTAGAATTACAGAAAAAAACTGTTTCCTCAAGTGAAATATCATAAGATGAAAAGGGCCTAAGGGAATTTAAACTCAACAAGAAAACTAATTAGAATAGATTTCCATTATGGTCCTGGTAACATGGTAGACTGTTCGACGCTTGGGCAAGAGTTTGGGTACCTCCAAGTGGACAACATTTACTGTAGAAAAAATATCTAAGAATAATTAACTAAACAGTAAATGTAGATCAAATTTCCATTCCAAAGGTATGCATGTTTTCAACAAATACCTGACTGAATAGCTGTCTTTCGCAGCTTTAACTGATAGAATCTGTGAGGCAATCACAGACAGAACTTCTGCATCAATTCGATTGACTTCATCAAAACAACACCACGCTCCTGACCGAACTAGTCCAAAGAAGAATTTTCCCATTATCTTAAAAAAAAAAAAAAATTGGATTACTCAAATTATTATTTAGGTGAAAAATTTTACTGGGATGTTAATTTCTTTCTTTTTTTTTTTTATGAGGAAGATCAGCCCTGAGCTAACATCCATGCTAATTCTCCTCTTTTTGCTGAGGAAGACCAGCTCTCAGCTAACATCTATTGCCAATCCTCCTCCTCTTTTTTTTTCCCCCAAAGCCCCAGTAGATGGTTGCATGTTATAGTTGCACATCCTTCTAGTTGCTGTATGTGGGATTCAGCCTCAGCATGGCCAGAGAAGTGGTGCATTGGTCTGCGCCTGGGATCCGAACTGGCCGCCACTAGCGGAGCGCGGGCACTTAACGGCTTACGGGATGTTAATTTCTGCATGTTCTTCCCATTTTAGCCAAATCTAGAAAACACGTTTCCGTGTCCTCCCCTCAGGCATTTTGCAGGGCTGAAAGGAGCAGCTGCTTAGACTCTGAGAGGAGTCACCTACGCTGCCTGTCTCTTGTAAGAGCCTAAACACGCAGCAGCAAACTCTGAATGTCACAGACACCGCGCAGGCAGGGCCACCGCCTACGTTTCCCCGGCTCAGCACTCCCTTGGGCGCCATGTTCCCCACAGAGCTGTGCGCCGGCGGAAGGTCTTTACGACAGTTTTCCCGCAGATGGTCGTAAAGCGTCTGAAGGAAAGGGCTCTTTTTACTAGCTTAGGTCAAGACTCTTGGGTTTATGGTGGGCTGCTGTTAGGTAATGCAGAGGCGTGAATCCCGCCCAATTGAACACAAGAGGGGGCTTCTGGGCCAGACTGGAGTGGGGCCCAGCTAAAGCACACAGCTGCTACCCAGCTTCTGATATTTACAATGGTGCAGGCCCAGGGTGGCCAGAGCCTCTAGGGAGCTGTGAGGCTGCAAGTCTGGATTGAAATCTATTGATTTGTAAATGTTAGCAGCTAAAACATAAAAACAGGACAAAACAAAAACACTGTCAGACTAAACAGAGCGTCTGTGGGCTGAACACAGATTGAGGAACGTCTGAGCTCAGTGAAGAGCTTTTGCCAGGTGGCAGAGAGGGAAGGTAGAGGGGAGGAGAGACCAAGAGAGCCCCTCAGGCCCAGGATACAGAAGTTGGTTCTTCCCACCGGCTGCCGGAAGCCGGTCTTTATTTAAAATTTTGATGTTTTGTTTATCATGAGTTTTGTGGCATTAATTTTGTTTCAAAAACTACTGCATTAAAGTATTATTTATCTTGATTATTAGGTTTTTTGGCTCTCCTTAAAGTTTTGCTCAGCAGGCAAGGGCCTCACTCACCTCACCCTAGTCACAGCCCTGCTGCACCCCACTGGAAGGTAAGTGTCTTAAGAACAATAATTCAATCAGCTTATTTATGTTTATTGGTATTTTTAATGTGCTAAGCGAGCACAAATTGGAAATGCAGGATCTCAGAGGTAATGTGCTTTGAACTGCAAATAAAATGACAGCAATAAAATGTAAAAGATTTGGGGGCTGGCCCCTTGGCCGGTGGTTAGAAGTTCTGCAGTGCTCCACTTTGGTGGCCTGGGTTCACAGGTTTGAATCCCAGGCACGGACCTACATCACTTGTCAGCCATGCTGTACCAGGGTCCCACATACAAAAATAGAGGAAGATTGGCAGAGATGTTAGCTCAGGGCTAATCTTCCTCAAGCAAAAAAAGAGGAAGGTTGGTGACAGATGTTAGCTCAGGGCAAATCTTCCTCCAAAAAACAAAAACAAAAAAAGTAAAACATTTGGACTTAACATGCAAAACAAAATAAACTGAAGTGTTTTGAAACTTCAAGTAAATTTGTGACAGGCACAAAGGTACATGAAATTTTAATAAATATTTCAGAATGTTGTGAGATATGTCTTAGTGTGTAACCAAAATAAGGCTAACATAAAATTGTAATCATCTATATAAACTCTGACTCAAATTTTTGTGTTAATTATAATAGCCTCATTGTTCTTAATAAGTACCTTTTCAGTAAATAAAATTATAGGGTACGAACATATGAAATAAATTTGTATTAATAATGCAGTGCTTTTAATTTTTTTAATGTATTCATACTGCATATAAGATTTTGTTTGGAAAAGAACCCCCTGTCAAAAAGTCTGAAAACCACTGTCTTAAAAGATAGTTCAGTTTAATAAAAGCAAACTGTATGATGCCTTAAATTTCTATTCTATTAGTTTAAAAGAATTAATACTATTTATATTTCTATTAATACTTATATCTTGTATAGTTATATATCTATATTTAATAAAGATCTTATAGTTCTATTAATACTTAATATCACTCTAGGATAAATATTTTTCTTGTTCTTTCAATCCTCAATGAATTATTTCTTTTATGTATATAATATTTTTTTCTGTGTCTATACCAATAAGCTTTACCTTATAATCCAAATCCTCAAAACAGTTGAAGACCACACAATGTTTGCCTAAGCACTGGAAAACAAAAATATTATTTTACTATATTTCTTGTATTATGACACAAAATACTATAATAAAAAGTAATAAAAATTCTTTACTCTTTTGAGAAAACTTTTGCAATATAAAGATGAATTACATACCAAATTTAGAAATTCATAAAACTCAATATAGTATAAATGCACATATATTGTTATAGTTTAGTTGAGAGTACATAGAGCATTAAGGTCATGTTTTAAAATACATCAACAAATAAAAAACTAAGAAAAAAACATTCCAATGATGTCATGAAGTATACCCTTTGCTTTCATCAGTTACTTCTCTCTATCTGTCTGTCTCTCTTACACACACACACACACACACACACACACTGCTATTAATCACAAAGACTAGGCAAAAGTCTGTGTATGGGGCTTAAAATAAATGAATCACCCCTACAGGAAGGCGCAGGGGGACAGAACTACCATTCACGTCAGTCGGCTATTATAGTGGTATTCCAAATAAACACCAAGCATATGGGGGATTACTGAGATCCCAAGTCCCAGCACACAATAGGCATTCAAAAATTAGTTGATGAATTTTATGAATTAATGAATGTGCTAATGTGTTTATTAAATGTTATGAACATCTTAACAGCGGGAATGGTGTAAATTTAAGATACCATTAAGATTTGTGTGACTTAAAAAAAAAAAAAAGAAGTTGTTTCTATTCTGGATATAGTAACCACTTACTTTTGCTAGATCTTTGACACTCTCGGTTTTTCCCATCCCAGCTGGACCAGCAAGGCAGCCTCCTAGATTCAACTGTAGTGCTCCAGTGAGAGTGAGCCAGCATCTGTCAGTGAGAGGTGTAATAACCAATCTTGGGGTACAGCCCAAGTACTCGTAGCCATAAGTAAAGCTGGCATCTCCTTGAGATACATAGCACAACTTTTGTTTTTCATTCCATTTATATTGCAAATGTCTGAAAACAGTATTTTTGGGCAAAATTATTTTTAGTTTTTTTCACATGCAAAAACATAATAAAGATTGAAATTGGAATGTTGATTAAAAAACATGGAAATAAAAACATTAAAGTCAAATGAAACGAGTGATGGATAATTCATCAATGACTGTATTAGACATGAAATAGAACTCAGAAGACTACAAACATATGAGCATTCCTCACTCTGAGGAAAATGGCCTCGCTGAATCTTGCTGCTTTTGTGTGATGTTGTCAGCATAAATGGAGGATTTATATAAGAATCATCCTTATGAAGTTTATTATGGTTTTCAATAAAAATGTGGTTTAAGACACTCATTATAACCAGGATCCTTACTAAGAGGGTAGTTGAGAGAAATGCTGTTCTGAGCATCCAAAAAAATTGTACTTTGAGGAAATAGACTGTATTTATCTTATGAACACTGTAAATTGTGTAGCTAACCATAAATTATCTCCTCTACAAGGCTGTGAGTTAGATTTGTGACTCATTTGTAGCTTTATGGTACGAATTCTTTATTTCCCCCAGTTTTATTGAGATATTGACATAACATTGTGTTAGTTTAAGGTGTACAACATAATGATTTGATATGTGTATGTATTGCAAAATGATTACCACAATAAGTTTAGTTAACATCCATCATCTTACATAGTTACAAATTTTTTTCCTTTGATGAGATCTTTTAACATCTAGCATCATTCAAATATACAATAGAGTATTGTTAACTATAGTCACCATACTATACATTACATCCCCAGAACTTATTTTTCTTATAACTGCAAGTTTGTACCCTAGACTACCTTCACTCATTGCCTGCACCCTCTACCACCCACCTCTGGCAACCCCCTATCTATTCTCTCTTTCTGTGAGTTCGTTTTTTTAGATTTCACATAGAAGTGAGATTATACGGTATTTGTCTTTCTCTGTCTGACTTATTTCACTTAGCATAATGCCATCAAGGTCCATCCATGTAGCAAATGGCAGGATTTCCTTCTTTTTTTTATGGCTGAATGATATTCCATTCTACACATGTACTATATTTTCTTTATCCATTCGTCAGTTAACAGAAGTCTTGGCTATTGTAAATAATGCTGCGATGAACATGGGGGTACGGATATCTTTTTGAGATAGTGATTTTGTTTCCTTAGGATAAATACCCAGAAGTGGAATTGGTAGATCACATGGTAGTTCTGTTTTTAATTTTATGAGGAACTGCCATAGATTTTCCATATGGCTGCACCAATTTACATTCCACAAAAAGTGTACCAGGCTTCCCTTTTTTCCATATCCTTGCCAGCACTTGTTATCTGTTGTCTTTTTGATGACTACCATTCCAACAGGTATGAAGTGATATCTCATTGTGGTTTTGGTTTGCATTTCCCTGATGATTAGTGATGTCGATCACCTTTTCATGTACCTGGTGGCCATTTGTATGTCTTTTTGGAAAAATGTCCGCTCAGTTTCTTTGCCCATTTTTACATCAGGTTGTTTTTTTGCTATTGAGTTGTATGAGTTCTTTATATGTTTTGGATATTAACCCCTTATTAGATATATGATTTGCAAGTATTTTCTCCCATTCAGTAGATTGCCTTTTCATTTTGTTGGTGGTTTGCTTTGCTGTGCAGAAACTTTTTAGTTAGATGTAGTCCCACTTCTTTATTTTTGCTTTTGTTCCCTTTACTTTTGCTTCAAATCCAAAAAATCTTTGCCAAGACTGATGTCAAGAAGCTTACTGCTTATGTTTTCTTCTAGGAGTTTTATGGTTTCAAGTCTTACATTCACATCTTTAATCCATTTTGAGTTAATTTTTGTGTATGGTGTAAGATAGTAGTCCAGTTTCATTCTTTGCATATGGCTATCCAGTTTTCCCAACACCATTTATTGAAGAGACAATCTTTTCTCCATTGTATATTCTTGGCTCTTTTGTAATACATTGATTGACCATATATGTGTGGCTTTATTTCTGGGCTCTCTATTCTGTTACATTGATCTATGTGTCTATTTTTATGCGAATACCATACAGTTTTGATTACTATAGCTTTGTAATATAGTTTGAAAGCAGGAAGTGTGTGATACCTCCAGCTTTCTTCTTCTTTCTCAAGACTGTTTTGGTTATTCGGGGTCTTTTGCAATTCCATACAAATTTTAGGAATTTTTTTCTATTTTTGTGAAAAATGCCATTGGAATTTTGATAGGGATTGCAGTGACTGTATAGATCACTTTGGGTAGTAGGGACATTTTAACAGTAATAATTTTTCTAATCCTTGAACATGGAATATCTTTCCATTTATTTGTCTTCAGTTTCTTTCATCAATGTGTTATAGTTTTCAGTGTACAGATCTTTCACCACCTTGGTTAAATTTATTCCTAAGTATTTTATTCTTTTTGATGCAATTGTTAAGTGGAATTATTTTCTTAATTTCTCTTTCTGATACTTTATTTAAGTATATAGAAATGCAACTTATTTTTGTATATTGATTTTGCACCCTGCAACTTAACTGAATTCCTTTATTGGTACTAACAGTTTTTATGGTTTTCTATGTATAAAACAATGTCATCTGCAAATAGAGACAGTTTTACTTCTTCCTTTCCAATTTGGATGCTGTTTATTTCTTTTCCTTGCTTAACTGCTGTAACTAGGATTTTATGTTGAAAAAAAGTGGTGAGAGTAGGAATCCTTGTCTTGTCCCTGATTTTAGAGAAAAAGCTTTTTGCTTTCCACCACTGAGTATGATGTTAGCTGTGGCTTGTCATATATGGCCTTTTTTATGTTGAGGTACGTTCCCTGTATACATAATTTGTTAAGCATTTTTATCATGGATGGATGTTGAATTTTGTCAAATGTTTTTTCTGCACCTATTGAGATGTTCATATGATTTTTATCCTTTATTTTGTTAATGTGGTCTATCACATTGATTTATTTGCGAGTGTTCAACCATCCTTGCATTCCTGGCATAAAGCCCACTTGATCATGGTGTATGATCCTTTTCATGTACTATGAATTCGGTTCACTAATATTTTGTTGAGAATTTTTGCATTCATATTCATTATGGATGTTGGCCTGAAATTTTTTTTTCTTGTGTCCTTGTCTGGTTTTGGTATCAGGGTAATGCTGGCCTCATAATTTAAGTTTGGAAGTGTTCCCTACTCTTCTGTTTTTTGGAAGAGTTTGAGAAGGATTTGTATTAATTATTTAAATGTTTGGTAGAATTCACCAGTTAAGCCATGTGGTCCTGGACTTTTATTTGTTGGGAGGTTTTGATTACAGATTCAATCTCTTTACTAGTAATGGGTCTGTTCAGATTTTCTCTTTCTTTGTGGTTCAGTTGTGGTAGGTTTTATGTTTCTAGGAATTTATCCATTTCTTTTAGGTTGTCCAATATGTTGGCATATAATTGTTCAGAGTAGTCTCTTGTGATTCTTTGTATTTCTGTGATAACAGTTGTTACATCTCCTCTTTTTTTGTCTGATTTTATCTGAGTTCTCTTTTTTCTTTCTAAGTCTAGTTAAAGGTTTGTTTATTTTATTTTTTTAAAATACCAGTTCTTAGTTTCATTGATCTTTTCTATTGTCTCTTTAGTCTTTATTTCATTTATTTCTTCACAGATCATTATTATTTCCTTCTTTCTACTAACTTTTGGATTTTTTTTTTTGAGCTTTAATATTTGAGTTTATTCTTCATGTAACTTTTAAAACACTACTATACTTGAGTATTCTTTTTTTAGTTCCTTGAAGTGTAAAGTTTGGTTGTTTATTTGAGCTTTCTTTTTTCTTAATATTGGTGTTTATTGCTATGAACTTTCCTCCTAGAACTGCTTTTGCTGCATCCCATGAGTTTTGGTATGTTTTATTTCCATTTTCCTTTGTCTCAAGATACTTTTTGATTTCTCTTTTGATTTCTTCTTTGACCCATTAGTTGTTCAGTAGGCATGTTTAATCTCTGCATATTTGTGAATTTTCTAGTTTTTTTCTTGTAATTGATTTCTAGTTTCATACTATTGTGGTCAGAAAAGATGCTTGATATGATTTCAATCTTCTTAAATTAATTAAGAATTCGTTTGTAGTTTAACATAGGATCAATCCCAGAGAATGTTCCATGTGTGCTTGAGAAGAATATGTATTCTGCTACTGTTGGATATAATGTTATAAAATGTCTAAGTCTATCTTGTCTAACATGTAATTTAAGTCTACTGTTTCCTTATTGATTTTCTGTCTGGACAATCTATTGATTGTTGCATATGGGGGTATTGAAGTCCCCTACTATTATTGTATTGATGTGTTTTTCTATCTTCAGGTCTGTTAATATTTACTTTATATATTTATATATATATAAATTTATATATATAGTTGCTCCTGTGTTGGCTGCATAAATATTTACAAGTATTATATCCTCTTGTTGGAATGACTCCTTTATCATAATATAATGACCTTCTTTGTCTCTTATTAGAGTCTTTGTCTTAAAGTCTGTTTTGTCTGATATAAGTATAGCTACCCCAGCTTTCTTTTGGTTTCCGTTTGCGTGGAATATATTTTGTCTATCCTTTTACGTTTAGTCTGTATGTGTCCTTAAAGCTAAAGTGAGTCTCTGGTAGGCAGCATATAGTTGGGTCTCATTTTTTTATTCACTTGGCTACTCTGTGTCTTTAGACTGCAGAATTTAGTCCATTTACATTTAAAGTAATTATTGATAGGTATAGACTTACTATTGCATTTTGTTAATTGTTTTTTGTCTGTTTTGTAATTCCTTTGCTCCTTTCTTCTTCTAGCTGCCTCTTCTTTTGTGGTTTGATGATTTTCTATAGTGGTATGCTTAGATTCCTTTCTCTTTATCTTTTGTGTATCACTTATAAGTTTTTGCTTTGTGGCATATGTAAAACATCTTATATTTACAACAGCCTATTTTAAGCTGCTAACTTAAGTTCAAATGCATATTAGTTCTCTGTATTTTTACTCTCCCTCCCACATTTTATGTGTTTGATGTTAC